GGAGAGGGAGAGGGAGAGGGAGAGGGAGAGGGAGAGGGAGAGAGAAACTGACTATGTAGCCTTGGCTAGGGCTAGCCTGAAGCTCCCTATGTAGACCAGGTGGACCTAAAATGCACAGGTATAAAAGCATATATATGAGCGACCACATCTGGCGACTTCATATTTTTTTTTTAGCATTCAACTGTTAGCTGACCTTTGAAGCTCCTCTTCTTCAGTTTTCAGCTGTTCCAGTTCTATGAAAACAAAAACAAAACAAGCATAAAAAAGGACACCAGGCTGGGCAGTGGTGGTGCACGCCTTTAATCCCAGAACTTGAGAGGCGAGGCAGGTGGATTTCTGAGTTCGAGGCCAGCCTGATCTACAGAGTGAGTTCCAGGACAGCCAGGGCTACACAGAGAAACCCTGTCTAGAAAAACAACAACAACAAAAAAAGGACACCAGGAGAAACTTGAAACATAATCACTTAGTTTACTGAAAATTCTGACCTAACCTAATCTCATCTAACATCCAAATGAACTCAACAGTGCTTTTCTCTCTGGCCATATCACTTTAACTAAGTTAGTTACCTTTCTCTGCATCTCTTATTTCAGAATCCCATTCTTCCATGGCATCATTTTTCTCTTCATTCTCCAAATTCTTAGTTTCTAAGGTAAACATCAAACATTAGAGATATTAAATATCAGAGAAACAGATGGTCAAGTGAAATATCGAGAATACTTCACAAATACTCATCCTCTGCCAATAAAGTCCTGAACTATAATTTCAAAGACTTTTGGTATCAGATAAGAGGACTTGGAGCTAATGACAGTGATCTCATCTTGTACTTAAAACATCATTATTTATATGTATGTATGTATGTATGTATGTATGTATGTATGTGTGTGAGCACTATTACTATTTGTGTGTATGCATGTATATGTATGTATGTGGGTGAGCACTATTAATATTTATGTGTGTGTATGAATGTAGGTGAGCACTATTATTAATATTTGTGTGTGTGTATGTATGTGTTTGAGTGTGGGTGAGCACTAGAAGTTAGCAGACAACTTCTGGGAGTCAGTTCTTTCTTCCTATTTGGGTTCGTCAGCAAGCTGATGCAGCAAATACTGCTGATGCTTCTCTACTACCTTTGAGACAGTCCTGTTCAGGCCAGCCATAAACAGGTGTGTCCCATGCCCTGTTTGTCTCAAATTAGCATCGAAAAAATTTTCCTTTTTGAAACAGGATCTCATATAGCCTAAGCTGGCCTCACTGAGTAAGCTGATGATAACTCTTGATCCTCCTGTCCTTACCTTCTAAGGGCTGGGATTAAAGTGCCTACTCCAAGCTTGAATTTTACCTCAAAAATACTTCCCACCTTTTTTTGAGATAAAGGTTCACTATGTAGCTCAAGCTGGTTTGGAATTCATTATAGAGACTCTAATTCAACCTTTATAGTGCTTGAGATTACAGATGTGCACCATGACAACCAGCGTGCATTTATTTAGCTATTCAAACCCAAGCTCTATACGACCCTTAGTGTTTAATAAACACATGGTTAGTTCACTTCTTATAAACATATTTAGAACTCCTTAGGAGGCTGTCCTATGCCTCACCCCAATAGCAAATCTAGCTTTCAGAAGACATTTCCGTTTGTTCTCTATTTTACTTTATCTTCAAACCCATGTAGTTGGTGTGTGTTTTCTACATATATTAATTTTGAACAGTCTGTTGTTCGTTGTATCTGTATGCATAAACACACATTTATCTGCATATGTGTTTTAAAGAAACTGATTCATTCAATAGTTCAGGCTGGCCTTGTATTCACAGCAATTCTCCTGCCTCAGCTTTTCAAGTGATGGAATTAGTGATGTGAACCATGCCTGGCTTCTTCTTTTTTTTTTTTTTTTCCTTTTTACTCCTATTCATTAGCTGTAAAGTCTCTTCTGTATAGGTAAGGCTGCTTAACTAGATCACATTTCTATGGAAGTATCTCAGCACCTTATAACATCGTCTGCAGAATTTACCATAAAATTACTTTTAAGGAAAGGATGATTTGGTGTTTTTGTTTTTTTTGAACAAAGGTCTTATGCAACATAGGCTAGCCTCAGACTCCTGATCCTCCTGACTCCGTGTCCTATAGGCTGAGATGCCAAGTGTGTAATAGCATACCCAGCTTATTTGTTTAGTGTCTATAGTTGCTTCTAGATTAAAAGTTCCATAAAGAGCTGGGCATGGTAGTATATGTATGCAATCTCAGAACTGAGGAGGTAGAGGAAGAAGCATCAGGTGTTTAAGGACACTCTCGACCACTTTAGAGGTCAGTACATTCATGATATCCTGTCTGAGGGAAAAAAGTTCCACAAGGGCACAAATCATGTTTAGTTTTGGTTACTAGTGTATTCTTATTTCTGAGTACCATCATATAAAAGGTACAAACTAAGCACATTTGAAAAATGAGTAATGAAAGAAGGGTAGCCAATTAGTGCTACCTAAAGAGGGAAAGGAAGCACAGCTGTTTTTCCTCTGGTTCTTTTTTTTCAGTCCTAAGAAGATCAAATCCAAGGACCTGAAAACACTCTGTCACTGAACTCCGTCTCCAGCCTTGTTATTTATATTTGCTTTTTATTTAGGGTGTAGAGAGGCTTCTAAACAAACTTATTATTATTTGTAAATGGGTGTTTTGTCTGTGTACCACATGCATGCCTGGTGTCCTCTGAGGTCAGAAGAGGGCATTAGGTCCCCTGGGAATGCAGTTATAGCCATGGTGTGGGTGCTGAAAATAGAACTTGAGGTCCTCTGGAAGAGGAGACAGTGCTTACAAACTGTTGAGTCACCTCTCTCGTCCTTCTCTCCCCCTTTCTGAAGGATCTCATACTATTCAAGTTAGCCAAGAACTTAGCAATGTGACCCATGCTAGTCTTGGGATCAAGGCAGTTTTCTTGCTTTGGCCTCCCAAATGCTGGGACTGCAAGTGTTGAGCCACCTAAATCCAATGATTTTTTTTGTCTCTCTCTCTCTTCTCTCTTCTCTCTCTTCTCTCTCTCTCTCTGTCTCTCTCTCTCAGAGCCTTAAGTACCTCAGGATGACCTTGAACTTGAGGCAGGATATTCATCCTGCCTCAGCCTTCAGAGTGCTGGGATCGTAGGCATGTACATTCATTCTTGACTTCATGAGCTGCTGTTGGGGAGGAAACCCAGGGTTCTGTGCATTCTAAGAAAACACTTAAGAAACTAAACCGTACCCTGTGCATGCTTTAAAGATGACAGCGAGGTGAGTAAATTAAATGGAAATGGATATGGTAAAGGGAGGAGTCAGTAATACAAGATTACTGAGAAGACATCATAGAATCATTTATTTATTTGTTTTTGTTTTTGTTTTTGTTTTTTTTTTAAAAGAGATAGTATCTTGCTATATTAGGCTGGCTAACCTGGTACTCACTATGTAGTTCAGGCTGGCCTCATTAGCAAATCTTCTGCCTCAGCCTTCTGAGTGCTGGTATTACAGGGTATGCATTACCACACCTGGCAAAATCAGTTTAGATGGGAAGATTGATGTTAGAGAAAAGAAAAGAAGGAAGAAAAAATGAATTAACAGATTAAAGGTCTGGTTTCTTTGTTATTAGGAAGTTTGGAAGGTCTAGTCTAATGGCTCCTATTTCTTTTATTATGAAGTAGAAAGTAAAGTAATAAAGAGGTAAGTTATTTTAAAACTATGATATTCATATATTCATTTTCAATTAAATGCAGAATGCATGTATTAGACACTTTTTCTATGCAATTTGCAATGCTAGGGATGTTAAAAAATAGCAGAAAACATGCTATTTTTACCTCCATGGAGCTTACAATTTTTTAAAGTGTGTGTGTATGTGTGTGTGTGTGTGTGTGTGTGTGCAGTAACAGGTCTGCACAAGTGTGCATGTACCAGTGTGTATAATATGTGTGTGCCTGAGGATGCCAGAAAAAGGTGTTAGATCTCCTGGAACTAGAGTTATAGGCAGTCATGAACCACCTGGCTTAGGGTTAGTTTGAGCAAGAGAGGCCCACACAGGAGCTAAAAGAAAAGCCCAGAAATAAAGAACAGAATTCGAGTCGGGTGTTGTAATGCCTCAGAGGGTAAGAAAAATAAATGGTTTAGAAAGAAAAGAACAATCAGCAGTGTCAAAAAGGGAAACAGACTAAGGACCAGGGAACATGAAATCTGATAAGTACATGAAATTTTCTGATCTTTGGGAAGATAAAGGAAAGCAAAACTAAAAGCTGGGATTTGAAGAGGCCAAAGAAGATGGTTAAGTAGTTTCCAGACAGAAATAATTTATCTATTAAAAATATGGGTCAATGAGACAGTTCAGCAGATAGCACAAGCCCAAGTTAGATCTCAAAAACCCAGAACAGAGATAGAAGAGAACTGACACCCAAAAGCTGTCATCTGACCTCTATTCGTTTCCCCATGGCACATGCACCACGAGAACACACAAAATAAAAGTATGGGGAGGGGCTGGAGAAGTGGCACAGCAGTTAAGAGCACTGACTGCTTTTCTAGAGGACTAGGTTTGATTCTTAGCACCCACACTACAGCTCACAATCATCTGTCACTCCAGTTCCAGGGGATCTGACATCCTCTTCTGGCCTCCATGGTGCTCATGTAAGCAAAACACCCATACACTTAAAGTAAAAAAAAAAAAAAAAAAAAAAAAAAATCTCATAAATAAATATATAACCTTAAACTTACACACACTAAGAAACAAACAAGTGTGATGAAAAAACAAAAACCAAAACCCAGAATACTGGGCATGGAGGCACACTTGTTAACACCAGCACTTGGGAGGCAAGGCAGGAGGATCACAAGTTCAAGAGTAGCTCAGGCAAATTCCAGGCCACCCTAGGCTATACAGACTCTGTTCCCCAAATAAGCAAAACTATACAAGATTATGGTATAGGTTATGAAGAGCTTTGCAAAAGAATTTAATTTTTTGTACATCTCTTCTTCACTGCTATGGATGATTATAGCGAACCAGGTTTTATTATCATTTTTTATTACATTTATTTATTCTGGAGGGTGGGGTATTCACCACAACATGCTTATGGAGAGCAGAGGAAAACACGTGGGAATCAGTTCTCTTCTTCCACCATGTGGGTCCCAGGAATCAAACTCAGGTCACCTGAGCAAGCACCTTTATGCACTGAACCAACTCAGTAGCCCAAAAAAGAGTTTTACTTTGCTGCAATTTAAGAACTCAAGCTGCACTTCTTCCGCCCCTCACTTGGTCCTTTTGGCTGGAGCAGACACCTAGCTGGTCTGCTCCCGTGAAGACACCATATCCTGAGATATGCTAGAGGAGCCACTGCACTCAGAGTCCTCTCCCACTACCCTATGCCCCAGAGCTACAACTGGGAGCCTGGAGCGCTCAGGACCCATCAGCCACCCAAACCCCGACCCTCCAGAATACCACTCCCCTTCTACCCCTTGCTTGGTCCTTTTGGGTGGGCAGACACCTAGCTGGTCTGCTCCTGTGAAGACACCATATCCTGAGCCATCCTAGAGGAGCCACTGCATGCAGAGCAGCAAGATTTCAGGATCCCAGAGGTGGCCTGAGTCCCAGGAGTTCTTCCACCCAGGAGCTCAGGATCACAGGATCACAGAGACATCTGGACTCTGAGGAGTTCTGACACAAGCAAGATAACTAGAAAGACAACTCCAGTCAGAGACAGTGAGTGCAGGTAGCACTAGAGTTAACCAGATAGTGAAAGGCAAGCGCAAGAACATAAGCAACAGAAACCAGAATTACTTGGCATCATCAGAACCCAGTTCTCCCACTACAACAAGCGCTGGACACCCCATCACACCAGAAAAGCAAAATTCAGAATTAAAATCACTTCTCATGATGATGATAGAGGACTTTAAGAAGGACATAAATAACTCTCTTAAAGAAGTACAGGTAAGTAAACAGGTTGAAGCCCTTAAAGAGGAAACACAAAAATCCCTTAAAGAATTATAAGAAAACACAACAAAACAGGTGAAGGAATTAAACAAAACCACCGAGGAGCTAAAAATGGAAGTAGAAACAATAAAGAAGTCTTAAAGGGAGACTACCCTGGAGATAGACAACCTAGGAAAAAGATCAGGAGTCGAGAGTTCGAGGCTAGCCTGGTCTACAGAGTGAGTTCCAGGACAGCCAGGGCTACACAGAGAACAGAGAAACCATCTCGAAAAACAAAAACAAAAACAAACAAACAAAAAAAACCACTACATTTTGCCGGGTGGTGGTGGCACACGCCTTTAATCCCAGCACTTGGGAGGCAGAGGCAGGCGGATTTCTGAGTTCGAGGCCAGCCTGGACTACAGAGTGAGTCAGAGTGAGTTCCAGGAGAGCCAAGGCTACACAGAGAAACCCTGTCTTGAAAAACCAAAAAAAAAAAAAAGTCATAGACACAAGCATCACAAACCCAACAGAATACAAGAGATAGAAGAGAGAATCTCATGTGCAGAAGATAACATGGAAAACATTGACACACCTGTCAAAGAAAATGCAAAAAGCTTCTAACCCAAAACATTCAGGAAATCCAGGACACAATGAGAAGACCAAACCTAAGGATAATAGGTATAGATGAGAGTGAAGATTCCCAACTTAAAGGGCCAGTAAATATCTTCAGCAAAATTATAGAGGAAAACTTCCTTAACCTAAAGAAAGAGATGTCTATGAACATACAAGAAGCCTACAGAACTCCAAATAGACCAACCAGAAAAGAAATTCCTCCCGTCACATAATAATCAAAACATCAAATGCACAAAACAAAGAAAAAAATATTAAAAGCAGTAAGGGAAAAAGGTAAAGTAACATATAAAGGCAGACCTATAAGAATTACACCAGACTTCTCACCAGAGACTATAAAACCCAGAAGATCCTGGACTGATATCATACAGATCATACAAATGCCAGCCCAGACTACTATACTCAGCAAAATTCTCAATCACTATAGATGGAGAAACCAAGATATTCATGACAAAACAAAATTTACACAATATCTTCCCACAAATACAGCACTTCAAAGGATAATTGATGGAAAACTCCAACACAAGGAGGGAAATTACAACCTAGAAAAAGAAAGTAATCTTCCAACAACCCCAAAAGAAGATAGCTGCACAAACGTAATTCTACCTCTAATAACAAAAATAACAGGAAGCAACAATCATTTTTCCTTAATATCTCTTAACATCAATGGACTCAATTCTCTAATAAAAAGATGTAGACTATCAGACTGGATACACAAACAGGACCCAGAATTTTGCTGCTTACAGGAAACAAATGCACCTCAGTGACAAAGACAGACACTACCTCAGAGTAAAAGGATGGAAAACAATTTTCCAAGCAAATGGTCCCAAGAAACAACCTAGAGTAGCCATTCTAATATCAAATAAAATCGACTTTCAACCAAAAGTAATAAAAAAAAGATAAGGAAGGACACTTAACTTATCAAAGGAAAAATCTACCAAGATGAACTCTCAATCCTGAACATCTATGCTCTAAATGCAAGGGCATGCAAATACATAAAAGAAACTTTACTGACCCCCAAGCCGGCTATCTTGTGAGACTTCGTGAGCTCCTCCCTCTTTCCTTTCTGCCACGGCCATGCCATCCAGGCTAAGGAAGACCCAGAAACTCCGGGGCCACGTGAGCCATGGCCATGGCCGCATCGGTAAGCACCGCAAGCACCCAGGAGGCTGCGGAAATGCTGGAGGCATGCACCACCACAGGATCAACTTTGACAAATATCATCCAGGTTACTTCGGGAAAGTTGGTATGAGGCATTACCACTTGAAGAGGAACCAGAGCATCTGCCCAACTGTCAGCCTGGATAAATTACGGACGTTGGTCAGCGAGCAGACGCAGGTCAATGCAGCCAAAACCAAGACTGGAGCTGCTCCCGTCATTGATGTTGTGCGATCTGGCTACTACAAAGTTCTGGGCAAGGGAAAGCTCCCTAAGCAACCTGTCATCGTGAAGGCCAAATTCTTCAGCAGAAGAGCTGAAGAGAAGATTAAGGGTGTTGGAGGTGCCTGTGTTCTGGTGGCTTAAAAGTCACTCCAGGGGTTAATTAATGCAAACATTTTCCATGTGGTCTGAGTAGGTCCTTTGCATCCTTCCTTGTCTGCATGTTGGGAATCTGCCTAACATTCTAGGAAGATGTGAGGCAATAAATGTAGCCCACATTTTAAATTCCTACATCCCTGTGTGTGCTCTATGTATGGTTCTTGATATTCAAAGAATTGATGAGTGGCATTACTTTAAGCCCAAAGCGAAGAAACCTGGTCTCAAAAAATCCTGAGGACCAGAAGTGAGATGGGTTTTCCTGAAAATCTAAAGTTCTGAGAAAATCCTTGCCATTCAGATTGCTAACAGTTGCCTGGCTTTGTAAGCTCACCATATACTGAACAGATAGCTCAGGACTGGGCTACTGATTACAGGACAGATTAGCAGGAAAAGCTTAGGGGGAAGAGGTGCTCCATCCGTTCTTGACATTGAGGTGCTGTTCCTAGGGAGCATGCCTACCTATTAAATTGTTAGAGGGCTAGAGCAATGGCATTAGGACATCAGCACAACTGGGAATACTTCAGAACCAGAGCTGTGGTCTTGAACTACTGGAAAAGTGAAACTTTATGTTAAGAGTATCTTGGAGTAAATAAAACCAAGAACCTGACTGCCTACATCTTTAAATCTGGAACATTAAACCAACAAAATTAACTCTTGAGTTTTTAGGGAGATTTTGCATATATACTTAGTACTGAAGCTGCTGCTTTAGTAGCCAAATGCATATTGAGGCAATATAAGTTGGGAGGGGTCACTTAACAGAGAAAAGGCTGTCAGAAGCCTTATCAATGATGAACATTGGTTTGTGGAAAAACATTTTAAGATGTTTTGGAAGATAAGACTTTTGACTCTAGAGATACTGATCTGTATAATCACCCCTAGTACAGTGGGGTTCAGATGTATATGTTATGAGGTAGAGGGTAATGGATATGTATGTGGCAGTCAGGACTAGGATTTGTAACATTTGTGTATGTAACCATATTCATAATATATATAAAGGTTCCTAAAGTACATGTTTTTATAACAAAAAAAAAAAGAAACTTTACTAAAGCTCAAAGCACACATTGCACCTCACAAAATAATAGTGGGGGATTTCAACACCCCACTCTCAGCAATGGACAGATCATGGAAACAGAAACTAAACAGAGACACAGTGAAACTAACAGAAATTATAAACTAAATGGATTTAACAGATATCTACAGAACATTTCATCCTAAAACAAAAGAATATACCTTTTTCTCAGCACCTCATGGTACCTTCTCCAAAATAGACCATATAATTGGTCACAAAGCAGGCCCCAACAAATATAAAAAGACTGAAATAATCCCTTGCATCCTATCAGGTCACCACAGACTAAAGCTGGTCTTTAATAATGACAAAAACAATGGAAAGCCCACATACACGTGGAAACTGAACAACACTCTACTCAATGATGACTTGATCAAGGAAGAAATAAAGAAACTAAAGACTTTTTAGAATTCAATGAAAATGAGGACGCATCATACCAAAACTTGAGGGACTCCATGAAAGTAGTGCTAAGAGGAAAACTCATAGCTCTAAGAGCCTACAAAAAGAAACTGGAGAGAGCACACACTAACAACTTGACAGCACACCTAAAAGCTCTAGAACAAAAAGAAGTAAACACATCAAAGAGGAGTCGATGGCAGGAAATAACCAAACTCAGGGCTGAAATCAGCCAAGTAGAAACAAAAAGAACTATACAAAATATCAATAAAACCAGGAGCTGGTTCTTTGAGAAAATCAATAAGATAGATAAACCCTTAGCCAGACTAACCAGAGGGCCCAGAGACAGTATCCAAATTAATAAAATCAGAACTGAAAAGGGAGACATAACAACAGAAACTAAGGAAATTAAAAAAATCATCAGATCCTACTACAAAAGCCTAAACTCAACAAAATTTGAAGATCTGGATAAAATGGACAATTTTCTAGACGGATACCAGGTACCAAAGTTGGGCATAGGTGGGAGAGAAGTCATTGGTCCAGTGAAGGCTGGATGCCCCGGTGTGGGGAAATTCATGGGTGGGGAGGTAGGAGTGGGAGGGTGGGTGGGGGCACATCCTCATAGAAGCAGGAGGAGGGGGGGATGGGATAGGGGGTTCCTGGGTGGTGGTGGGGAAATGAGGAAAGGGGATCACATCTGGAATGTAAATATAATATCCAATAAAAAAAAAAAAGAACTCAAGCTGCTAACAAAGCACAGTAAGACCAAATTTTCTAACTTATAAAAAAGTGCTAGGCAAGTATTCTATCACTGAGCTCTATCCTCACCCCTAGAGAAAAGCATTCATTACTTTACCTATTTCCACTTCAGTGAGACATTTATTGATCTTCTTAAGTATGGTGTCCATCTCATTTAATTTTATCTGAAGTTTCTTCTTTTCATTCTAAACACAAAATATTATAGATTGTAAAGCTTAAACTCCAAACAATCCTTTACTATTTCAATTACTGTCATGATGCGTAGATCTTGATTCTCTTTACTTGAGAACATGCTGGTCACATGATCTACTGCTACCCTTTATTCCTATCCATTTTTTTTTTCACTTTTTATTTAAACTCAGGGTCTTACAATTAAATTGGCTGATGCTGAACTTGTGATATCCCTGCCTTGGACTTTCAAGTAGCTAGGATTACAGGCCTGTGCCATCACACAGGCATCAAAAGACAAATCTTGAGGTCAAGACTTTTAGTCTGGATTTAAAGTTTTTTTAAATTTAAAAAGACAAATGAAGTTATTTTGTATTTCTCTTTATTATAGCATTTCTTTTCTATACATGTTTCATAAACTGTATGGATATTGGTATTTATTGCTTTAAAAAGGGTTAATTTTTTTTTTCTGTGAATAGATGGACACTGGCCATACAGAACTACAGCCTTTAAGTGTATGATCCAGAACTTATGGCAATATTCCTGCCTCAACTTCCTGTAGGTGTGTACAGCAGGAACAACAATTTTTGAATGTTTATTTCTATAAAAGTATAAAATACTTCCTGTACTTATTTGCCGGTACTTACTAAGCAGAGCTAGGCTACTGTGCTTGTTCGTGTGCACATGTGTGGCTGCTCATGCTCACTGGCATGGGCACCCCACTTCTGTCTCTCAAATGGGAGAGTGAAGAAATGCTAAGCAAATGTTCTACCACTGAGCTACAATCTCAGCCTTATGTGTAAAGCCTTTTTAAAGGAAAAAAGATAAACACATGCATATATATATATATACATATGTATATATACATATACATATATATATATGCAACTGAATGTAGACATAAAGAAGATAATACTGCCTTCTGTATGAATACAGACACAGAATCACAAGTATTTTATTTCAATATGTAAAATGGATAACAATATATGAGACATAGCCCATATTAGTAACTATATTTCATTTTACTCCTAATGCCAAAAATTGAAATTTTTGGTTATTAGGACCTCACTTTTTATAAACAAACATCTATCCAAGCCTCACTTACATATCTCCTAAGAAACAGTCCATAGTTTATATCACCTATACATTACTATACATCAACCATCTCAAATTACCTCAGCCGAATGCACCAATTTACTATACAGAGCCACTTTTCCTTGGTGAGTGAAGACTTTTGTCATCTTGGTATAACGTGATTTTATTTTGTTAAGGTAAATTCCATAGGTCTTCAGCTGTATGAGAAAGTTAAAGAATACATTTTACTAAAAAAACAAGTCAGATAAGATAAGTAAGGTCTGGAAAGACAGGTTCAATTGCCTGGGCTGGGCTTTGGCTTAATCTAGATTCTGATTCCTAATGTAAGAACTTTTCATTGCCTGATCTGGAAGTCATAAATGTGTGCTTGTCCAGCCTCTGCCTCTAAAGTGCTGCGATCACAGGTATATGCCACCACACTTAGGCTCTGCATACCTATTTAAGAAGATAATCAAAGACTTCAGTTTTGATTCTTTCACTTACTTTATAAACTAGAAAATTTATGGCTCTTAATTAACAAAATATGATTATATATTAGGGTACATGTAAAATGAACTAATAAATAGCTAGTCAATTAAAGAAAATCTTCATTTAAATCTAAAGAAAATACAAATAGAAAGCTGGGAACAGGCCGGGGGGTGGTGGTGGCGCAGGCCTTTAATCCCAGCACTTGGGAGGCAGAGGCAGGCAGATTTCTGAGTTTGAGGCTAGCCTGGTCTACAGAGTGAGTTCCAGGACAGCCCGGGCTATACAGAGAAACCCTGTCTCAAAAAACCAAAAAGAAAAACCAAAAAAAAAAAAAAAGAAAAGAAAGCTGGGAACATCAGATATATTTTTTACATGTTAAATTAGATATCACACATTAGAAAGGCTATATTTAACAAGTACTTGGTAATGCTTAGATAACACCACAGCAACACACTAGATCTAAGACTAAATTAAAGAACTCCATACTATCAAGTAACAGTTCTTTTTTGTTTGTTTTTTGACACAGGGTTTCCTTGTGTAGTCCTGGCTGTACTGGAACTAGCTCTGTAGTTCAGGCTAGCCTTGAACTCAGAGATCCACTTGCCTCTGCCTTGCAAGTGCTAGAATTAAATGTTGGGTATACCACCACAGCAGGCTAAGCAACAGTTCCAAATATATCAAAATGTGTCAATTCTTATTCAGAAAATGGCATAAAAGTACCTCTTCATCAGAGTAGTCTTTCACTTTTTCCCACAAGTTCCTATTTACATCCGCCAATAGTTTATCTTGGTTCAATGTAGATACCTTTAATCTAAAATAAACAATGTTTATACAGGATTTAAAATTGTGCTTGAATAAACCAGCTTAAACATACAGCCAATTATTTCTAGTTTTTTTTTTTTCTACACAGGAGGAGTAATTCACTCAGGAAACACAGCTAGCATGATTATTCAACATTTAAAGAACAAAAGTTAAGAATGTAACAATGAGCCAAATGTGGTTGGGCACACCTTTAATCACAGCACTCAAAAGGCAGAGGCAGTCTGATCTCTGTAAATTCAAGGACAACCTTGCCTATAGAGTGAGTTCCAGAACAGCCAGGGCTACAAAGACAAATCCTATCTTGAAACACGCACACACAAAATCAAACAAACAGAATGTCACAATGATGCTGGGAAGTGGGATAGATCCCAGGGTCAGAGAGGCCAGAGTCCATTGGAGAATCCAGAAGGCCCTGGTACGTTTAAGGGATGGCAGGACTTGGATGGGGTGGAGATGGTAGTAGGGGAGGGTAGCAACTGAATTTCTTTTTCTATTTTTCTTTTTCTTTTTTAAAGATTTATTTATTTTATTTATGAGTACACTGTAGCTGCCTTCAGATATACCAGAAGAGGGCATCGAATCTCATTATGGATGGTTGTGGGCCACCATGTGGTTGCTGGGATTTGAACTCAGGACCATCTGGAAGAGCAGTCAGTGCTCTTAACCGCTGAGCCATCTCTCCAGCCCCGCAACTGAATTTCTGAATTACTAAGGTTCCAGCTCCCAGGATATTTAGCCAAAAAAAAAAAAAAAAAAAAAGAGCAAAGACTTGATTTTGAGTGTTAGGACAAATCTAGACTGAGTATCTGAGACTCTTAGCCTCTGTGAGCTTGGCAGATCAGGTCCCAAACTCTAGTCCTTCCATCCTGGGATTTCCCAAACATCCCTCAGTGACTTTCTCCCATAGCCCATCATGGTTTCCCTCTGCTTGCTCCATCACCCAATACGTTTTGGGATTCACCATTTCCTAGCATGACTAGGCTCTAAACTCAGCTTAGGCACTAAACTCAGGAGGTCAGCATCCCAGCCAGTGCAGCAGCCTCTGGAGGCTGTTCAGGCTCACTGCACCCCACCACCAATCTTCATTCAGGCAGCAGTTAACCAAGATCCTCTAGAAACCTTACCAGCTAACATCACCCCTCACTCCCTAGGTTCTCCTCTCCATGACTCTGGCCAATCAGTCTGAAAATTCAAGCTTTCTACCCTTGCAGGCGCCCACACCTGGGCGACTACTGTATTACTCTGTACATCTGCTCCTTGGAGTTTTTTGGGTTTTTTATTTTGTTTTTCCTTCCTCCTCAGTTCAGACATTTGGTTTCTCCAGAAATGACTGCCCATGGTTCTCCATAACCTACACTACATACATCAAGGCTAATGTACCTTCTTTACAAAAACCTGATGATCTCCAGGATGGCACCTTCCTACCTGTACACTGCCTGTACTGGTTATTTATTGTTTTATGCAAAGCAGATACTGTATATATTGAACTATTTAAGACAGCTGCATTTGCAATCAAGGGATGGTGCACACCTGTATTCCTAACACTTTGGCGACTGGGGCAGGATTGCCTGAAATAGCCAGCCTAGACTTCAGTCTCTTTTGAGGCACTGTCTCAAAAAAGCAAAATAAGAAAGTACTTATACATAAGTACTAATTTTAGTGGTTAAGAGCTTGCTATTCAGAGGACCTGAGCTCAGTTCCCAGAACTCACACTGTGTGGCTCACAAGTTGCTCAAGTGCTGTTAACTCCAGCCCTAGAGACCTGGCTTCTTTGGGCATCTGCTCTCTGTCTCTCTGTCTGTCTCTGTGTCTCTGTCTCTGTCTCTCTGTCTCTCTCTCTCTCTCTCTCTCTCCCTCCCTCCCTCCCTCCCTCCCTCCCTCTCTCACACACACATACATACAATTTAAAATAATAAAAATAAAATTTTAAAGTAAAAAAAATTTTAAAAGAAGTGGTACAAATCAAAAACTTTCTAACAAAGATTCCTACATCACTCTATTTGCTTACTGTAAGTGAAAACACATTGCTTTCTTTCTTTTCTTTTCTTTTTTTTTTTTTTTTTTTTTTTGGTTTTTCGAGACAGGGTTTCTCTGTGTAGTCCTGGCTGTCCTGGAACTCACTCTGTATACCAGGCTGGCCTCGAACTCAGAAATACGCCTGTCTCTGCCTCCCAAGTGCTGGGATTAAAGGCGTGCGCCGCCACCACTGCCCGGCAACACATTGCTTTCAAGTTTAAGATGTCATTGTATAATTGCTGTGAAGTTGTAGTTAGTTTTTAAAGTAAAAGTTCTCAAAGTTTATCTAACTTTTACAAAGTAGCATTTAGAAAACACAACAAAGTTAAGCTAGCGCCGGGCGGTGGTGGCGCACGCCTTTAATCCCAGCACTCGGGAGGCAGAGGCAGGCGGATTTCTGAGTTCGAGGCCAGCCTGGTCTACAGAGTGAGTTCCAGGACAGCCCGGGCTATACAGAGAAACCCTGTCTCGAAAAACCAAAAAAAAAAAAAAAGTTAAGCTAGCATGGCACACACCATGCATGTTAAGGCTGTTGTGAATTCTTAGACAGTAAGAGCTATAAAACATGAGTTCTTGACTAGCCTGGCAATGAGACATTGTTCAAAAAAGAAAACAATAAGAAAGCTATCATATTCCAGGACAGCCAGGACTACACAGAGAAACCCTGTCTCGAAAAACCAAACCGAAAAAAAAAAAAAGAAAGCTATCATAACTTCAATATTTACTAATAAACAGAGGAAGTAAATCTCTAACAAAGAAGACACTTGTGATACCGAGAATTAGGCTAGACCCTTATGTATATTGATGCAAGTGTGCTACTGAACTATATCCTCAACACAAAATTAGAAAACAGACCAAACAACAGAACAAATCTAAACAAGCTGCTACTTTCTAAGGCTAGATTCCATTTTTTGAAAAGATTTCTATATTTATATTTGTATGTACTTGAATTAGTTTATGTACATTATGTATATAAAAGAACCCAAAGAGTTAAGAGGAGGGCATCAGTCCCCTGACCTGGAGTTCCAGGCAGTGATGGGCTGCTTATGCTCTTACTCCCTGAGCTACCTTCAACAGTCTGCATTTCACTTTTAAAAACAATATTAAGAATCCTATCTGTCTTATTCAGTGATGATCCCTAGTAGTTAATATAGACTGTGGTAAACAGCAGGTGCTGAATAAATGTTGAATGAACAGAGTAGAATCAGACAATTGGTGAACCATAATTTTTTGTTTGTTTCTTCTTTTCCCCTTGTTTGTGTGAGATTATAGGTGTATGTCCCGTATCCAGATGAAATACTGACTTAATTATTTTATTTTACATTTTAAAATTAAAACTACATAAGTAAGACTGGAGAGATGGTCCAGTGGTTAAGAGCACTGACTGTTCCTCCAGAGAACCAGTTCAAAATCCATAGCTCCATCCACATCAGCTCACCATGTAATTTCACTTTCAGGTGATTTGAAGCCCTATCTGGCCTCCATTGGCACTAGGCACACATGCATACATACAGAGAAAACACAGACACACACAAAATAAATAACTTCAAAACTGCATGATTTTACAGCTAAGCATGTAGCTCAGTGGTAATTAAATGCCTAGCACTCTCAAAGCCCTTAAGTCAATCCCTGGTATGACAAACATACAAAGAAAAAACAAAAAACCATAACATTTAAAAATTATTTATTTTTGTTAGATTGGGTCAAAAGTAACTGGAAAGTACTAAAATAACATGAAATAAACATTATTTTGAATTCTAGTTTATCTTAGGAAAAATAGATTTATAAATAAATTGTAAATCTGAGTGTAATACTTACAAAGGTCTAAGCATTGAGCTATCTTCTAAGTAAAACTATATTCTTTTATATATGTAAATTAAGGGAAAATGAAGCAAAAATTAGAAACACCAAAATAGCTTTGATTTTGAATGCTATACAATTGTTATTGTTATTATATTTTGAGACAAGATCTTACTTTGCAACCTGGGTGGCCTTGAATTCACAGACCTGCCTGCCTTTGCTTCCTAAATACTAGGATGAAAAGGCCTATGCCATCATACCAAGTAATGTATACAATCATTTTTCCCAGAAAAGACATCATGTAGATGAGAATGGCCTGGCTTTTTTGTTTCTTATACTTATTTCTCTATTGTTTGGAGGCTAAATAGGCACGATGCCTGACTTGCTATGTGGATACTGGAATCAGAGCTCTTATCCTTATGACTTTGCAGCAAGTGCTCTTAACCACTAAAGTCATCTCTACAACGCCATGGCCTTGAACTCATGATCCTCCTGTCTCTATCTCACTTCCCAAATGCTGGATTACAGTCATGAACCACAACACCCACTTTACAAACCCAAATTAAAGTGTGGCAGGTTACATCCTGAATCTGGCACTCAGGAGGCAGAGGTAGGGGGATAGCAAAGTTTGAGTTCAGCCTGATCTACATAGACGGTTCCAGGACAGACAGGGATACACAGAGAAACCTTGTCTGGTTTGGTAGAGGGCGGGGGTGAGGGGCATGTTATATCCTTTTGAAGATGTTCTGTTTCAACTAATTTATATCATAACATAATAATTTCAGTTTATCTTTTTATTCATCATGATATAAAACATTTTGTGTAAATAGTGGCTATTGCTCATGGTGTCCATTGAATAGATATCATTATTCCTTTATGAAGTAGAAAAGTAAAGTAAATGACTATCAAGGCTATACAATATTATAGACAGAACTGGGTTTCTATTCGTGTCATACTGCCCATTAATTCTATTCATTTTTTTCCATACTGCTGTTGTTCTAATTAAAATACCACATAGACCACTTGTTTATTATAACCCTCAAAAAACAATCACAGGGGTAATAAATTAAAACTTTCTTACTCTTCAATCTTTTGTCGAAGAAGCTCACAATCTTCTCTGTAAATCTGTATCTTGGGTCCATAAACATATTGCCTCAACATCAGATCTTCTGTGGTAGGTAATGTGTTTATAGTAAACTTAAAAAAAAAAAAAGTAGTCCATTAATCAATCAATCAATCAATCAATCAATGTACGATAGAACCTTCCTATGTAGTTTAGGCTGGCCTGGAATCCTGTCTTAGCCTCTTGCCATGCTTGTGACATCATGTTTGGCAGAACCAGATGTTGATTTTTTGTTGTTTTCTATTTTTTTTTTTTTTAAAAAGAGAGGGTCTCTGCTGGGCAGTGGTGGAGCACGCCTTTAATCCCAGCACTTGAGAGGCAGAGGCAGGCGGAGTTCTGAGTTCGAGGCCAGCCTGGTCTACAGAGTGAGTTTCAGGACAGCCAGGGCTACACAGAGAAACCCTGCCTCGAAAACAAAAAAACAAAAAACAAAAAAAAAAAAAAAAAAAGAAAGGAAAAAAGAAAAAAAAAGAAAAAGAAAAAAAGAGAGAGAGAGTCTCATGTAACCCAGGTTAGACTGGAACTCTTATGTAACTGAAGATCACACTGATCTCCTGATCCTCGCAAGTACCAGAATTCTGGAATTATAGAAGTCCACAATTATACCTAGCTCAAAACTGGCATTTTGAGGACAAAACCAGATACAAGAACAAATTCAAGTTTTAGAGTGTATATTTTGTTTACATGTATGTATGTGCATCATTCATGCCTGGTGCCCTAGGTAGCCAGAAGGGGCTGGCAAATCCCCTGGGAATGGAGTTATACAGTTGTGAACAGCCACATGGGTGCTGGGATTCAAACCCAGATCATCTGTGACAGCAGGGACTGCTTTTAACCACTGTGCCATCTCCTTGGGCCCCTCCAGCTATTTATTTTCAGACAAGGTCTCACAAAGACTTGGTGGCCCCTGAAATATACATGTAGTCAAGGATGATCTTGAACCTGTGATCATCCTGGATGTATCTATCAGGAAGTAGGATTATAGATGTGGGCCACCACATCCAGCATACTGCCAAAGTTATTTTTTATTTTAAATTGTATTTATTTATTATGTGTGTGGTATGCAAGTCACTGTATGAATGTGAAATCAGTTTTCTTCCACCATGTGGGTCCTGAAGAGTCAAACTTAGGCAATCAGCTTAGTGTCAGGCACCTTTACCCAATATGTCATCTCACTGGCTCAATTATCAGGTTCTTGTTTGTTTGTTTGAGAAATGGTTTCACTGTGAAGCCCTGGCTGGCCTTAAACTCAGAGATCTGCACTTGTCTTTGTGTTGGGGTTGAAGAAGCCAAGCTACAATCCTCCAGTTCTTAAAACATATTTTTAAATGCACAAAAATCAAAACTATATGTACTGACTCAAAATGAAATAGCAATAGTAAAATGTAGATTGTGTTTTCTAAACACTGTTTAATACTAAATAAAATCAAGGTTCTTTGTAAAAGAACAAGAAAAGAAAGAGAAAATAAAGCTATGAAAATATTTCATGGCATCTCCATTGAATACAAAGCTGATCTCTTTTTTGTTTGTTTGTCAGTTAAGAGCACTTGTTGCTCTTGTACAGGACACAGATTTGGTTCCCAGCACTGCATGACAGCTTACAACTATCTGTTAACTGCAGTCCCAGGGGATTTAATGTCCTCTTCTGTCCTCCTTAGGCATTGCACAAATGTGATCCACAGAACATGCATGCAGATAAAACATCAATAAACATAAAAGAAAAATAAATTTTAAAAAAGTAAAGCATACAATTATGTATCTAGTAAAATAGCAGAAGTGCCAGTGGATAAAAGGTTCATGCTCTGTGGAACATATTGGATACTTATTATTGTAATCAGTGGGTGGATTAATTTGTTGCATCTTGAATTAGAGATTATGTGTACAAGCCACTTTGACTCATTTTGATTAAGTGTACAACTTATATATATAAACAATATTTGGATACTTTAGGCCAAGGAGTTCTTCAACCTAATTATACTTTGTAGGTTACAGTACTTTAGCTTGAACCTCTCCATAAACTTGCAAGGATCATGGATGACTATAAAAGCACTCTCTGCCAGTGCAGCCAGCTGAGCTCCTACAACACACAGAAATATAAGGGAGCTACAAACACTGTCTATGAAGGCTAGCAACATCTCCACTCCCACCAAAAACATGTTTGCCACTTCTACTCTACAGAGACTCACAGTCATCCAAATCTTGGGATAGATGCCCATAGCTATGAACCTCATTTCTCATGATCTACATATAATCCATTTCTTTTGATATCTGAGATTTTTCAAGTCTCTTTTCCTCTTTTTTTTTTTTTTTTGTTTTTAGAGACAGGGTTTCTCTGTGTAGTCCTGGCTGTCCTGGAACTCACTCTGTAGACCAGGCTGGCCTCGAACTCAGAAATCCGCCTGCCTCTGCCTCCCAAGTGCTGGGATTAAAGGTGTGCACCTCCACCGCCCGGTGTCTCTTTTCCTCTTGAGCATGGCTTGGCTCTATTGGCATCAAGACTTAAAGATGTTAGTTACACCACTGGTAGAGAAAAAAACCTCATGGATGTCAAACTGGGAGAGCCGCACGCTGGATACTAATCTGAGATCTATCCTCCAAAGGCATCACTGCAATGTTTTAGAGATGTTACAACTGGCATTACAAGTACATCTGTGTGAGGAAAGGGAATATCACCAGGGTATACAAACTCAGAGTGTTAGACTTGGCAGACTCAAGGCTTCATGATGGTAGGCAGGCCTCTACCAACTGAGCTACATCCCCAGTTCATGATTTTGTCTTTTAATAAATGCTTGCTCTGGTACAACCTAACTCAAATAACAACAACAACGACAACAACAAAGCATGATATATTTTAGCTGAGATGAGTATTTTGCCAAGAAATTGTACTTACTTTGGCTGGGAGAGTGCTCTGCCTAGGTTTCTGTATTAAGATGTGGACCTGAAGAAGTTTGAAGAACTCCTTTATTGTAATTTGTCCATCCCTGAGTTTCTTAAAAAACAAAAAAGAAAAGAAAAAAAGAAAGAAGTTTATGTAAATACTCAAAGTAAATTCATTTTGACTCTTAACAACATCATTCATTCCTCAACAGCTTTATCTACCATGTTATGGAAATAGCCAAACTTCTTTCTGAAGTCCTGAGTTCAATTTCAACCATGTATAATGAGATCTGATGCCTTCTTCTGGCGTGCAGGTGTATATGCAGACGGAGCACTCATATACATAAAATAAAAATTTAAAAAATCTTTAAAAAAAAAAAACCCAAAAGATATCCCTCTGTAGGGATAAACTTGCTATGCAGCCCAGTATGGCCTGGAATTCACAATCTTAGTCTCTCTAGTGCTGGAATGAATGAAAGGTGACAACCACCAAACCCAGTCTAACAAAATTTTAAGGTTATCTAAAATAGTTTTCAAAATGCAAAACAATTGTTCTTAATTTCTACTTATTAAGGTCAAGGTGCTTGATCTCTCCAAAACTCAAATTCCCAAGGTCATATGTCAATAGTATGTGGAGGAAGAAGATAACTGGATGAAGTCATAATATTAGGGCCCTCAGGACTGCATTAATGGCTTTATAAGAGGAAAATGAGCTCAACTCGGTAAGTTATTGCCCTGAGATACTTGGTAAGCTATTGCCATGAGATGCTATGGGTCACTCAGAGATTCTGCATAGTACCTCCAGCCTAGCAGCCTCATCACATCTGAGCTTGTAGCAGTGCTATACATCCACAAAGCTTAATGAACCACAAGCTGGCTGTATAAACTCCCAGTTTGTGGTATTCAGTTATTACAAGAGAGAACAGACTAAGATAATACTTGATATAACTACTATGTTGAATCCTTAACAAAGAAAACAAGCCTTCTATATATTTGAAATACTTTATAGTTTTAAAAATCTAAGGCTGGAGATATAACTCAGTTGGTAAAGTACTTGCCTAGTGTTCATGAAGCTCTGGGCTGGATTCCCAGTACCACATAAAATTTGGCATGTGGCCCACGTATGTAATCCTAACACTCTGGAGGTAGAGGCAGGAGGATCAAAAGTTTGAGGTCACTTTCTGATACATATTAAGTTTGAGGCTAGCTGTGACATATGGGAACAACCTCAAGAACAAAACAAACAAAAAACTAAGCCAAGTGTGGTAGCACACATTTGTAATTCTAATACTTGAGTAGTGGAAGCAGGAAGATCAGGAAGTTCAAGACCAGCATTGGCTACATAGAGAGTTTAAGGCTAGCCTCAATGCCTGAGGATCTTGTCTCAAAAAACAATAATAGGGCTAGAGAGATGGCTCAGCAGTTAAGAGCACTGGCACCTCTTCCAGAGGTCCTGAGCTCAATTCCCAGCAATTACATGGTGGCTCACAACCATCTATAATGGGATCCAATGCCCTCTTCTGATGTCTAAAGAGAGTGACAGTGTACTCACATACATACATACATATAAATAAATAAATAAATAGGAAAAAAGTCAACAAAAGACACTTAAAAATACTGTATTAAAAGTGAAAAATAAAGCTGAGTGGTGGTGGTACATGACTTTAATGTCAGTACTCCAAGAGGCAGAGGCAGGTTGATCTCTGAACAGTCAGGGCTATACAGAGAAATCCTGTCTCAGAAGAAAAAGCCAGCAAGACATAAGTCAATGTGGTGGTGAACATGCCTTTAATCTCAGGACTTCAGAGGCAGATGCAGACAGATCTCAGGGAGTTTGAGGTCAGCCTAATCTACATAGTGAGTTCCAAGCTAGCCAGGGCCACAAAGGAAGATGCTGTTTCAATGCAAACAAAGAAACAAAATAAAAACCTCAGTGAGAAATAGTAGCCTATGGGATGGGTCAGCAGGCAAGGGTATTCAACACCAAGCCTGACAACCTGAGTTCAATCCCTGAGACCCATATGATGGAAATAGAGATCAATTTCTGTAAGTTGTCCTCAGACTGTCACATGTGTAGTATGGCACTGATGCACTCAAACACATACATGCATAATAAATAATACATGTAAAAATAATTAAAATGAGAAATACATTAACATACCTCTCTCAAACTCTCTTCACAGATAGTGTCACCAAGAAACTGTGATTCCATTTGGCTATTACGCTGTGCTAGAAACAAAGCAAAATTTATGTAAATGGTAAGCAAGTCAAAGCTAAACTGTAAGGCTTGAAATAGTGGTGCACACCTTTAGTCCCAACAGTGGATAGAAAGAAGCTGGCAGATCTCTGTGAGTTTAAGACCAGTCTGGTCTACATCACAATTCTAGGCTGCCAAAACTACAGGTAGTAAGACCTTGTACCAAAATCAAATGAACAAATACTAAAATGTAAAGTTAAGCTTTTGGAGGAAATCAACTATTTCTCTGTATTATACACTTGTCATTTCATTAAAATTTCTTAGAAAATCAAAAGTGAAATATTACTTATCAATTCTACAACACTGAAAGGATTTATATAACATCCAAATACTTTCTAAATTGAAAAATACTTGTTAATCAAGGATTCAAATAACTTATTATTTAGCCCTCATAAATATCTTACTGCTGACATCCAGAGAGATTCCCTCAGACTTGACTGAGTCCAGAGAGCTGCTGCAACTAGACGGTGTCCTGCTCAGGCTTTTCAGCAATACACTGCTGACATTTTTATTGATATCCTCTTCAGTATGATTATCAAAAATCTGAAATCGCCAAAGAAACATCAGCATAAGGGCCAGTTAAAAGTTAAGACACTTGCTATGTGAGCTTAGGCCTGAGTTCCATTTCTGAACCCATATAAAAGGAAAAGAAAATAACTGACTCCACAAACTTGAGACATCAACTTTGTTCCCGTGACATTCGCATGCATGCTGTGGCATAGTCCTCCTTCCACTTCATACACACGCACAAAAGTGTCCTCATGTACACAGTACATAATTTAAAAACATCGGCATAAAGTTATGAACTTGGTACTTACAGTGACTAAATTTTGAACAGCAGCAAAAACGTTTTTGCTTGATTTCTGAGACAGAGTTTATGTAGTCTTGCCTGTCCTAGAACTAACTGTGTAGAACAGGCTGGCCTTGAAGTCAGAGATCCACCTGCCTCTGGCTGCTGAGTGCCGGGATTAAAGGCACACTACACTACCACCCAGCCAAAAATACTATTTTAACAAAACTTATCTACATAACTCATATACAATCACTTTAAAAGAAGTAGAATATCGCTGGGCAGTGGTGGTACATGCCTTTGGGAGCACTTGGGAGGCAGAGGCAGGTGGATCTCTGTGAGTTTGAGGCCAGCCTGATCTACAAAGCAAGCAAGTTTTATGACAGTTAGGGTCACAAAGAAAACCCTGTCTCAAAAAAACAAAAGAAAGAAAAAAAGAAGTAGAATATCAGGCAATTTAGGCCTTTAATGATAGTTTATGTTCTATACATTATAAACAAATTGTTTCTTAGTTGTACCTCAGTTATAGGAAGATACCATAAGTCAACGTATGCAATTCTTTAGTTGCTAGTCACCAATAGTGGGGCTACCTCAGAAGAGGAAACTAGAGTCTAAGGAGAAGGTTCAATGAGGATTTGAGCTTAGATCCCTGATGTCCACAGGGGCATGCACCTGTTATCCTAGGAGTGGAGGGCAGAGAAGGAGGTGGAGATCAGCTCAATGGCCGACTGGCCTAGCTGAATTGGTGGTAAGCTCCATGTTTAGTAAAAGACCTGGTTTCACAATAAGGTGGAGAATTATAAAGGGAGACTACCTGACATTGACTTCTTGCCTATACACACATGCTTACACATTAACATGCAAATATACCCATGGGAAAAAATGTATTTCTCACTATACACTAAAGAAATGCAGAGTCGAATTTTATTTATTTTGGTTTTTCGAGACAGGGTTTCTATGTGTAACCTTGGCTGTCCTAGAACTAGCTCTGTACGCTCAGAGATCCACCTGCCTCTGCCTACCAAAAGTGCTGGGATTAAAAGTGCTGTGAGCTACCACAAAGTATCAGTGTTTTAATCCCAGCACTCAGAAGACAGTTCTGACTCTCTGAGCTCAAGGCCTGCTTGGTCTATATAGCAAATTCCAGACTAGCCTTAGCTACATAATGAGAAACCTGCCTCAAAACAAAAACATTTCATTTTAATGGGGTATACTATTTGAAGGTATATCTCTGTATATTCAATTCTTAATCCTGCACATTCACAGAGCTAAATATTAGCCAGTATTGTTATTTTTATGGCACATCACCAGTCTCATAATTTGTAAATATTTGTTCCTTCCTCACCTGCCTAAGTAATCAAGATCAATTATATCTAATTGGCTTTAATAAAGATATGATAGCCAATAGCTGGGCAGGAAGTGAAAGGCAGATCTTCTAGGCAGAGAGAGGAACTCTGGGAGAAGAATCACAGATGGGAGATTCAGCCAGGGGACACAGAGGTGAAGGGATGGACCAGAGCTTAGCAGAGAAGTAAATGTAGCCACATGGCAGGACACAGAACCAGGATTAGTAGGTTTAGAGTAGCTGGGAGACTGCTCAACTAAGGCCTAAGCTTTAAAAGATTAATAACCTTTAAAAAAGTTTTTTTAAAAAAGTCTTGCCAGGCAGTGGTGGAGCACGCCTTTAATCCCAGCACTTGAGAGGCAGAGGCAGGCGGAGTTCTGAGTTCGAGGCCAGCCTGGTCTACAGAGTGAGTTCCAGGACAGCCAGGACTACACAAAGAAACCCTGTCTAAAAAAAAAAAAAAAAAAAAAAAAGTCTTAAAAACTGAGCTACATTCCTTTGGGGATTTAAAACAGACTCTTTCATGGAGGTTGCCTGACACCATCAGAAAATACAGGTATTTGCACTGTGATTTATAGCAGTAGCAAAATTACAGTTATAAAGTAGCAATGCACCGGTCAATGTGCACACCTTTAATCCCAGCACCTGGGAGGCAGAGGCAGGCAGATTTCTGAGTTCGAGGCCAGCCTGGTCTACAGAGTGAGTTCCAGGACAGCCCGGACTACACAGAGAAACCCTGTCTCGAAAAAGAAAAACTAAAACTAAATAAAAATAAAGTAGCAATGCAAATAATTCCATGGTTTAGGGTCAGTACAACATGAGGAACTACTCTATTAAAGGGTCAAAGTTGGGAGCTGGAGGTATGGCTCAGTGGTTAAGAGCACTAGTTGCTCATTCAGAAGTCCTGAGTTCAATTCCCAGCCACCTATAACTGTAGTCCCAAGCAATCTGATGCCCTCATTTGGTGTGTAAATGTACATGCAGACGAAACACTCATACACAAAATATATAAATATAGGGTCACAGCGTTAAGGAAGGTTAAGAACCACTGCTCTATACTAATTTTCATAAAATCTAGTCAGATTTAAGTGTTACATTACTATTACAAGTTTCTCAAAGCTTTGGCTATTTTCCCATCACCTCACCTCAGAGTAGACTTCAGCAACACAGAGCTACTAAAATCATCTTTTTTTAAAAAAAAAAAGATTTATTTCATGTATGTGTGTAAACTGTTGCTGTCTTCAGACACACCAGAAGAGGGCATTAGTTCCCATTACAGATCGGTGTGAGCCACCATGTGTTGCTGGGAATTGAACTCAGGACTCAGGACTTCTAGAAGAGCAGTGTTCTTAACCTCTGAGCCATCTTTCCAGCCCCTGAAATCATCTTCTGTACTTACATATACATATACATATACATATACATATACATATACATACACAGACACACACACACACACACACACACACACACATATATATATACTTTTGTGTGTGTGTGTGTGTGTGTGTGTGTGTGTGGGTGTGTGTACCAAGTCTTATTTCAACTTATAACCCAGGCTGACTTTAAACTTGTGATCCTCCTACTTGAGTTTCCTGAGTGCTGGAATAGTAGGCATGTGCTATCATATCTGGCTACTTATGTGGTTGTTAGTCTAAAGATTTGTTTTAATTTTTAATAATGAACAGGTGTTTACACCTATGTGGAGGTATATGCATGTAAATGCGTATCTGAAGAATCCAAAGGCAGATGATGGATCCCCTGGAGTTACAAGCAATTATGAGGCACCTGATATGGGTGCTGAAAATTGAACTTGAGTACTCTATAAAAGTGTTCTTAACCACTAAGCCACCTATCCAACCCCTTTATGTGGTTCTTAACAAGAGTTTACAAATCTTAAGAGTGTTTCTAGTTTTCATTTTCTCACAAATAAAACTGAATTTGAATGAGAAGTTTTGTTCTTTCCACAGTAGCCAAATGAAGGTTTTCCTTTTTTTTAAAAAAAAAAAAAAAAAAAAAAGTCTTTCGGGGCTGGTGGGATGGCTCAGTGGTTAAGAGCACTAGCTGCTCTTCCAGAGTGGGTCTGAGTTCACTTCCCAGTATTACATGGTGGCTCACAACCATCTATAAGGGGATCTGATGCCCTCTTCTGTCATGGAGGTGTACATGCAGCAGAGTATTCATACAATTAAATAAGTAAGTAAAAAAAAACAAATTTAAAGTGTTTCAATAGATAAAAAACAAAATCACCATTGGTGGTAGTGCATGTCTTTAATCCCAGCACTTGGGAGGCAGAAGCAGGAAGATTGCTATGCTTTCAAGGCAGCCTGGTCTACAGAGAGAGTTCTAGGACACCCAAGGGCTACACTGAGAAAGCCTGTCTTGAAAACCCAAAAACAAACAGATAAATAGATAAATAAATCTTGGTTCATTTTCAAGTATTAAGCTTGGCTTAGGCATTTCTCCAGTTACTAGAGAAACAGGCTCTTTGACATTTCTTGATATACCAAGCAAACCTTGCAAAGCTTTTCTTTCCACATTTTGAACAGTAGAACATTTTTATACCTCAAATATTTACAACACAGAAGATAGTACAAGGTACTATCTTTTCAAGGTAGACATGATAGTACATGCCTATAATCCCAGCACTTAAGAGGACGAAGTTGCCGGGCAGTGGTGGCGCACGCCTTTAATCCCAGCACTTGGGAGGCAGAGGCAGGTGGATTTCTGAGTTTGAGGCCAGCCTGGTCTACAGAGTGAGTTCCAGGACAGCCAGGGCTACACAGAGAAACCCTGCCTCGAAAAACAGAACGAAACAAAACAAAACAAACAAACAAAAAAAAGAGGATGAAGTCAGTGTCGATTACACAGTTGGACATTATCTTAAGAAACAAATGTGTTAGTGCAATGACTTAGTAAGTAAAGCACTTACTTTACTTGACTCTGACAACTTCAACTTGATCCCTAGAATCCATATCAAAGTAGGAGAGAACCAACTCCACAGAGTTGTTCTCTGACTTCCATATAAGTGCCTCCTAAGAGATTCATATACACAAACCAATACTAACCAATCACCAGCAAAAGTGACTGGATATTTAGAATTATACAAGTTTGATCTAGCATTATCGAGTACATTTGTAATGTCAGCACTTGGGAGAGGCAAGAGGTCTACAAGCTTGAGGCTATTCAGGACAATAAAGTAAGATGCTGTCTCAAAAAGTCAATACATTCTTGTTATGTAGCCTCGGCAAGCCTCAAAGTCACAGCAGTCCTCTTGCCAAAACCTTCAGAGTGCTGGGATTACAGGTATAGGCCACCATGTCATAATGTTAAATTCTTTACCATCTGACCTCTAATAATTCTACACAGGAATGTTTCACTAACCTATAGTAAGTAGAAATAATTTCTATTGCTCAGAAACTTAAATTCAAGAACATTTTTTTTTTTTGTTTGTTTGGTTTTTTGAGACAGGGTTTCTCTGTGTAGCCCTGGCTGTCCTGGAACTCACTCTGTAGACCAGGCTAGCCTCGAACTCTCGAACTCAGAAATCCGCCTGCCTCTGCCTCCCAAGTGCTGGGATTAAAGGCGTGCGCCACCACCGCCCGGCTCAAGAACATTTTCAAGACAGCTTACCTCTTGATCTGGTGTACTATCATGTGTTCTGATTTTTTTCTCGTTTGTAACATCATTTTCTTGAACCCAGGTTCTTTTTTGGGCCCTGCGGGTTTCTGTTTTGTTTTCAGATGGTAAAATCTCTTTATGAGATGTGTCAATCGGAGCACTTTCCTCAATGTCCAATGTAACAGAATCTGATGAAAGTATCTCACCAGGATACATAGGGAGATTTTCTTCATTTATATACTGAGATGGACTTGATTTCAATTTGGCTGCAACAGATCCAACGCCTGGATCTTTACTACAGACTGGCTGAGTCTCTAGGTGAGTTACATCAGTTGCATTTGCTAGAATCTGATCTGGGTCATCCACACCAGTGATACTACAACTTCTCTTGTTTGGTAATTTAGGTAAAAATATTCCCAACGAACATCTTCTCGCTTTGTCTTTAACAACTGCTTTTAGGGGTACAGATGTAGTTTCAGCCTCATTATGTAAAGTTTTACTTTCTTCATCTCTATTGTTACTGGAACCTAGGCTATACATTTCTGTAGCTTGTACTATACTATGTCCCTGACTTCCTTCAAGTAACTGTTCTGCAGGAGGTAATAAATGAACAGTCTGAAAGTCTAAAACCTCCTCAGTTTTTCTATTCAAATTACTCAGACTTTGTTTAGCACTACTAAAACATGAAACAGTAGATGGAACTATAGAGTCTGATGCTTCTTCAGCATTGACATGTATTTGAATGACTTGTGATGTCAGGGCTGAGTTACTATGGCTTTGTATATTTGTATTACATTTATCTGTTTGAATACTTTTGGTCAGTTCTTTTTTATAGGTTACAGCAAAGTGTCCCTCATCAGTGGACATTTTGGACTCATTTTCACATGTGAGTGAAGAGACATTTCCTATAAGAAAAGGTGAAGTCTTCTTCCCAGCTTTAGATAATATTTCTTCATCTCTATTGGCAGCATCCTCCCCTTTTTGAGTTGATGGAGATTGTTGGGCTGAGAGATGAGGCTGAGAAGCAACACTAACATCAACAGAGGCCTCCATTTGATCCTTTGCAAGTTTAAGAGATGCATGCTTTGAGTTAAATTTAGCCATCTCCCCTAGAGGCTCTTCTATCAGATCTTGATCTTTAAGCAATGCTATTGCACTTTCAGATTGAGTAATTTCTTTTGAAGGACAAGGTGCAAAGACAGACAGTTTCTCAGAATTCACATGATATCTACTTGGTAAAATATCTGCATAAGCAAACTCATTTGGCACTTGGCAATTATAAGTTTTCTCATTTTTATCACACAAGGACATAGTATTACCATCCAAATTATTGGAAGAAGAAATAACATTTGGTAAAGAGGAATACTTATCCCTGGACCTACAAACATCAGCTGTATAACTGCTTGAAAAAGCCACATTTTTTCCATCTGTTCTATTTAATGGGCTGCTTTTAAGTTTAGTTTGTTTCAATGTATTGGCCTCCATTTCTTTTCCTATGACCTCATCTCTATCAGCTTTATGAAACTTGATTTTCATTGTACTTTGATCACTACTAGATAATGTATTAGAAGGAATAACAGTTGTTATATGGTGTCTGTGTTCAGCTACTGGTTTTTTGATTTCTTGATTACAGGTATCACCTTCAGAACCACTCAAGTTTTTTGTTTTTGTTATTCCCAAGTTAGTATATTCATGAAGTATTTTCTCTTTGGCTTGACAATCGATGAAAACCGTATGGGACCTGGTGACATCCAGATCACCAAGATTATCCAAAAACATTACAGTTTTATCCATAGGTATAGTAGTTATTTCATCTGGTGGGACAGTTTTATTTTCTGAAGTAGTGGTTTGACTTCTAGAGATCTCCATGTCCTCTGGCCTATATGCAGACAAAACTGGTTTAGAAGTTCCTGCCAGTGGCACAAAACTGAAGCCCTTTCTGTCTTCTAGCCTAGTTTCATTATCTATTTCTACCACAGAACTCTGAGTGATATCAATATTACTTTTCTCATTCTCTGAAAATGTAATAGTCTTGTTTTTGAACATAAGGCTTTTTCTTCTCTGAGTTTTGCCTGATAGATGTTCATTCAGAAATCCAGGCTTTTGTGCATCATTAGTTTCTTCTCCAGGCCCACTATTAGACCCTTCCTCTAATATTGTTAGCTGGCTGCTTTTTGCTGGTACATGGTTGCTTTCACTATTTTTTGAAATGGAAATAATTTCTTCAGCAGGAGTAGACATCACTTTTGGCTTCTGTAGGCTTTCCTTTTTGGATAATTGAAAGTCAAGTCTGTCTGGAAGTACACCTTTTGCCTCTGCTTGGTAGTCAATGAAAACAGTATGAGACTTTGTCATTTCTAGTTCCTCATGATCATCTATAGACATCACAGTCTTATCCATATCACCAGGAGTTATATCACTGGGAGAGATAATTTTACACTCTAAAGGAGTTGTATGACTTCTATTGATTTCCATTTCATCCTGTCCACGTGCATGCAAAATGGTTTTAGAAGTTCCTGCCAAAGATACTACATGAGAATCATGTTTATCTAATAAAGACCTATAGTTTATTTTGACTGTGTAACTCTTGGTGATATCCATATCATCCTCATTACCCTCTGAAAATAATATAGTTTTACCAAGTTTCAGTCCACTAATACTTTTTCTTCCATAAATTTTGACGTTTTGCTTTTCCTTCAGCAATTCTGGCTTATGTATACTCCTGTCCTTTAATATGTCCATATCGTTAGTTGTTACTTTAGAGTTTCCCCCAGGAATGTTCACAGCTATTTGTCTGCTTTCTGTTGTAAGTTGGTTGTTTCTGTGTTCTAAATTAATTTTATTATGTTCTTGTACCTCAGAAGGACCAAACCCAATTACAATAGTGTGGCTCTTGGTTAGATCCATAGTTTGTACCTCCTCTGAACACATTATCTTCTGATGAGAACAGTTAGGATCATCTAAATCTTTCTTCTGTGGTAAGGGAGGTTTAGAATGCTGGCCTAGCATGACTTGTTTATGTAGGCTTTCCCACTCATCTGAAGGGCTTTTGCTGTGAGAGTAAGATTTGGTGACATTCTTTGATGCTAAGTCAAAGGCTGTAGGAATAACTTGACTTAACTTAGTTGTGTGACTTTTAGTCAAATCCATATCTTCGCCTGCTAAGAATTCCATCTTTTTGTCAGCCAATGAAACAGATGAAGCATTTGTCAGACTCTGTTGTAATATTTCCTTAGATTCTTGAGGAACTGTAATATAAGTTACATTCATTTTCTCATCTTTTGACATAGTTATAAGATTTTGGAGCATCATTTCCTTTTCAAATATTGGTATAGCTGTTGTTTCTTTTTTAATGTTTTCTTGATCATGCTTAAATATCTTATTATCTATTGCAACTGTGTGACTTTTGGTAATGTCCATGCTATCCTCTTCTGAATAAATAGTTTTCTCTCTGAGTGGGCCAGCATCTGAATTGGTACATATTTTAGAATACTTTTTATCAGCCTTCAGCAATTTTTTTTCCTCTTGCATACTTGATAGACACTTAGTCAGTTCCATTGCATCATTGCTACTAGAATAAAAAATTGTCTTATACCCTTGTGTAGCTGGACTAGAACATATAGATTCTGAGGTTACAGGCAATGGGCTGGCACTTTGATTAGAAATATGTGTGACTGTATGAGCTCCTGACTCTATAGGATGACATTTGGTAATATGAATTTTATTTTCATGGTTTGGGAAAGAGCCTTGGAAAGCAGCGTTTAGTTTATCCTTCAGAGCTGTTTTCTTCTCTGGAGCCATAGCTTCATCAAATGTTGTAACACTCATACCATTTTGAGTTTGAGTTTCTCTGTCAGATAAATTATTTTCTGACGACAAAACCTGTGTTGTATAGTTAGTTGTCAACTCCATGCACTCATTGCCATAAATTGTATTATCACCTTTAAATTCTCCTAAGTTGGTCTCCCTGGATGGAGGAATCCAAGTCTGAATACAGGCTGTATGACACTGGGTCAGATTCATCCCATCATCTTGTTCTCTGAAGAGTCTAGTCCTATTACTACTATTTTCATCTACACTAAGAGATGCATGCATTTGATGTGTTGAAGAGGCACTGTTTGAGTCTTTGGAATAAATAAGAATCTCAGCATTTTCCTTATCAAGCTCTGTAGAAGGAAAAGTATTATATTTTCCTGTTTTCAATCTTTTTATGAAGTTGTCAGAATTTATCTTTTCTGAGAAAATGTTTTGACTTATGGAAATTGTGGGACATGCTAAATCCTTTTTAACTTTTGAATTCCCAGCATGATGCTTTAAATTCTCCAGAAAGGACGTGGTATCTATTTTTGTGGGGTTTTCATTTTTGGTACAATCTAAAAGACCTTTGGTAATCATCACAGTGTGACTTGCTGTCAGATCCATCTGGTTTTCATCTGAAAAGATGACTGTCTGATCATTTGCATGTTTCCTTTCATGGTTGCAATCTATAATTGAAAACTATAATAAAAAAAAAGAAAAATTAGACCAAATGTAATTTTTTGTACTTTATTATTTTATTTTATTATTTTATGTATATGGGTGTTCTACCTGCATGTGTGCCTATGAACCACTTGCTTGCCTGGTGCCTGTAGAGGCCAGAAGAAGGTGTCAGATTCCCTGGAACTGGAGTTACACATGCTTACAAGCTGTCATGTAGGTGCTAGGAATTAACCCAGGTCCTCTGGAAGACCATCCAGAACACTTAGCAAGTAAGCCAATTCTCTAGCCCCAAAATATAAATTTTGAAAAAGTATTTTATAACATGTACTATATTTTTTTTAAGTTTTGTTTATTTTATGAATATGAATGCTCTATCTGCATGTACACCTGCATGTCAGAAGAAGGCATCAGATCCCATTAGAGATGATTGATTGTGAGCTACCACATGGTTGCTGGATATTGAACTCTGGAAGAGCGGACAGTGCTGAGCCATCTCTCCAGCCCCTAACATGTACAACTAGTAATGGTTTCAAGCTATATTGCTTTACTTGGTATAGTATATTATATGTAACTTGTTATTACATTTTTTTCTCCTAGGGCTAGGGATGTAGTTCATTTGGTAGAGTGCTTGCTTACCATGTTATTATAAAGTTCTATGATCAATCCCCACCACAACATAGACCAGGTATGTTAATTCACACCTATAATGGAGGCAAGAGGATCAGCAAGCAGTTGAAGGGAGCTGGGCATAGTGGTGCATGCCTTTCTTCTCAGCACTCTGGGAGGCTGAGGTAGGGGATGTCTGTAATTTTGAGGCCAACCAAGTTTATTCAGTGATCTCCAAGATAGCCAAGGCTACACAATACAACGAGACCTTGTCCCAAACAACAAAAAAAGTTCAAATTCATCCTTAGTTACATAGTAGTAAGTTTGAGGCCAGACTGGGCTGGAGACCTACATAGCAACTAGCAACTGTCTCTAACTTCAGTTCCAGGGGATGTGGTATCCTCTTCTAGAGTCTCTGTGCACTGGATATGCACGCAGTGCATGCATGCATACATACATACATACATACATACATACATGAAGTAGAACACTCATACATCTTGTAACAAAATAAATATTTATCCTTTTCAACTGGACACAGATTTGTCTGTTTACCTACATATAATACATATTTTTCATGTATTTAATGCTGGGTCGTGAATATAGATCCTTGCAGATGCTAGACAAGCTACCACTGAACTATGTGTTCAATCCAAAAAAAAAAAAAAAGCCCTCTATATTTTAATAAAATTCTGAGATATTTCATGTGCTCATTAAAGTTTGAAAGGTCTTGGTATTATTTAAATTGGCAGTGACTTAATTTTCCTCAATTAACTGAAAATATAGAAAGTTTTAACAGGTTATGATAATTCACTTTGGTAAGTTATCACAAAATTCTACCATTACAATAAAATTTTGCTACTTTAACTGTAAGAGATTAAATTTTGAAGATACTTGGATGATTTCATACCTCCTTTTGTGGCATCCGAGTCTGGATTGGAGCACAAAGCAAAGTGTTCATACCTATAGAACAATAAGAAAAAGATTATAGTAAGAAACACATCATGTCAGGAGTCTTTTTTTCTTTTTTAGGACTGTCATCAGAAGTATTTACCAGTGTCCTGGTTGCTTGGTTGTCAACTTTACACAAGCTAGAGTTATCTGGAAAGGGGAAGCTCAGGTGAGAATATGAAAGTCTGTATGTAGGGCCTTTCCTAGATTAATGATTAATATGAAAAGGCCCAGCTTACTGTGGGTTGTGGCATTCCTGACCAGGTGGACCTGCACTGTATGAGAAAGAAAGATGGGCAAGCCATGTTGAGCAAACCAGTAAGCAGTGTTCCTCCTTGGTCTCTGCTTTACTTTCTGCCTCCATGTTGTTCCTGTCTTGAGTTCCTGTCCTGACTTCCCATCATAATGAACTACAAATACAAACAAAAGTAAACCCTTTCCTTGCCAAGTTGTTTTTGGTCATGGTGCTTAACAGAAGAGATACAAAGAGAAATCCTGTCTCAGAAAACCAAAGAATAAATAAATAAAAAAAGACTTTGAACTCATATTTTCCTCCTTCTCCAACGTTGGAGATCAAACCCAAGACATGGCAAGCAAGCATTCTATTACTGAGTTATACTGTAGTCCCTAAGAGCCTTTTCTAATGGTAGAAACAGTGATTATTATATCTGTTTTGGAAAAAAATATTTTATCTGTGTCAGCAATTTTATTTTATCTGCTGATTTTTTTGAGCAATGTCTTTGTATCCTTGGTTGGCCTGGATGGAACTCACTATATAGATCAGACTGACCTCGAACTCATAGAGATCCAACTACCTCTGCCTTTCAAGTGTTAGAATTAAAGGTGCCATCACGCTCGGCACTATTTTTTATATTTTATCTCATGTATCCCCAGGTTAGACTTAAACTTGCTATGTAACCAAGGATGACCTTAACGTTCTGATACTCTTGCATTCACCTCCAGGGTGACAGGATTACAAGTGTATACCACATGTTTGTGTATGTGTTAATTTTTTAAAGCGCTATTTATTTTTGTGTATGAGTGTTTTGTCTGCATCAAACAATCTAGATGAAGCAAAAGGTATATAAAGAAGAGACATATTTTGGTCATACTCACCAGTAATTGCACAATAATTATCATCTAAATTCTTATCCCTAAAAAAAAGCATTTTCATATATTATATTCCAAATAATTATGAAGACTCACAATAGTTGGAAGACTTAGGAAGAGAGATAGGCACTGTAGATGCAGCCTTTAACCCCAGCATTCAGTAAAAAGCTGTCTATATGCTATTAAGTGATCTAATTTATTTGGTTTTCATAAAAGCTAAAGGCTAGCATATACTTCTGTAAGAACACTAAAAATAACCATGGGAAATTGATCATAATGGATCATCTAAAGGAGAAAAAAAATTGTTTATGTTTCACTTTTTGTTGTTCTCTATTTCAAAACCAGGGTTATTAATAATTCAATTCACTCCAAACAATTTTAAATTTAATTTAAAAAAAAAAAAAAAAAAACTCTATTTATTCATTTATTTTTATGTATGTGAGTGCACTGTCACTCTCTTTAAACACACCAGAAGAGGGCATTGGATCCCATTCCAAATGGTTGTGAGCCATCATGTGGTTCCTGGGAATTGAGCTCAGGACCTCTGGAAGAGCAGTCAGTGCTCTTAACCACTGAGCCACCTCTCCAGCTCTAACTTTAAATTCTTAATAGGTTAGGGCAGAGAGACAGCTTAGAAGTTAAGAGCACTGACTGTCCTTTTCCAAAGGACGTGGATTCAATTCCCAGCACCCACATGGCAGCTCACAACTGTTTAAAATTCCAGTTCTAGGGAATCTGATGCCTTCTTCTGGCTTCTGCAAGCACTGCATACACATAGTACACATACATGCTGGCAAAACTCTCATATACATAAAACTAAGAAACAAAAACACAAAATAAATCAAAACATGCCTTTAATCCCAGCACTTGGGAGGCAGAGGCAGGCGAATTTCTGAGTTCGAGGCCATCCTGGTCTACAGAGTGAATTCCAGGACAGCCCGGGCTACACAGAGAAACCCTGTCTCGAAAAACCAAAAAAAAAAAAAAAAAAAAAAAAATCAAAATTCTTTTCAGAGATGTTTCATGCATGTATTAGTTAACAGATCTGTATTTATAAACATGTTACACATGTGCAGTGAATATATGCACACAGAAATATAAACACATAAGCACTGTCATTCTAGCTGAGTAATTACATGAAAAATGTGTGATTTATTTAATCAGTTCCTTTATGCCACCATCAAGGATTTTTATGCCATCTTTAGGATCTTTTGCATCGCTTGCTATTACAATAAGCTTCAGTGAATCTTACATAGACATCATTTAAAACATTCACAAGTTGATTGGTAAAATAAATTTCAACAAATGAAATTTATACTAGGTGATAAATTTAAGAATCTCTATATGAAAATGGAGTTTGTCATCACTACTAAGACTATACTATAGACTTATTTTTCAGATATAGCGGTACATATATGAAATTCTACCATTTGTGTTTTAAATTAATGTTAATTATTTGACAGAAGGAATGCTAAAATAACAAAAATCTAAACAACTATTTAAATATAGTTAGTACATGTCTGTTACTTACTGTAGAGTCAGCACATTTTTTCTAGCTTCTGTCTCTAAAAATAAAGTAAAAACATAAAGTTGTTCAAAGATACCTGATCAAGTATTATAAAAGTTAAATAAGGTTGTTAACAGCAAAAGTTTAAAAAGAAGCTATTATTTAACCTTTTTGTCCTCATAACTAAAAGAATAATTCATTTATTTTCCCCCTACTTGTTGTTTAGTGAGGATCTTGTGCCCTTGTTTTTTTCTCCTGAGATAGTTTCAAGTACAAAAGGGTCTAGAAATTGCTATGTAGCTCAAGCTGGTGTTGAACTTCCTCAGCCCTGGAAATTCGGGGATCACAAATGTGAGTCCCCACATTCAGCTAAGGATATACTTTGTGTCTGTTATATATATATATTTATGTGGGTATGTATACATATACATGCATAGGTGTGGGTATGTATATTTAAGCCAGAAGTCAATGTTGTATATTGTCCTCTATCACTTTCCACTTTATTTTTTGAGACAGTATCTTTCACTTAACCTTAAATTTACTGATTTGGTGAGTATAGTTAGCCTATGAGTTCCAGAGATTCTCCTGTCTTAAGTCTCCTTAGTGATAAAATTATAGGCATATTGTGGTTTGAATGAGAGATGTTCCCCATAGTCTCTGGCATTTGAATACTCGGTCCTCAGTTGTGTGGGGTTCTGTTGGGCTGAGTTGTGGTTCCCACACGTCTGCTGCCCCAGGTGCTGAGTGAGGAGTCACAAAACTCCGCTCTGGGCATGGGGAGATCTCAGTCTGAGGTCTCGCGGAAGCAGAGCTCTTGGGTTAGGGGTTTCTGGGCCAAGGTGGCTGGCGGGAGACCAGCTGGTCTCAGCCCCTGGGCTCCCAGATGTCGCTGGGAGACCGCAGAAGGACTGAGATGGGAGGCATAGGGGCTGGACCGGCCCGCAGCCAAGAGGGACAAGGGAGAGAAGCCCTGGCAGCACCCCACGGGGTAGAGACTCTTGGCTCAGCTAGCTTGCTTGAGTTGGTGGGCTCTATGGTTGGAACGCAGAGAGGTCCTCTGGAGGGAGATTAGGCAGCGATTCATTGATCGGAGGCCCCCCTCTATGGTTCTCCACGGCTGGCCCCAAGTATGAGAGGAGTCCATGGTTTTAAAAGGTTTATTGTCATGGCAGAAAGTGGATGAAGCTGTACCCCATGTCCTCAGGACAGGCCTGAGGTTAAATATCTTTTATGAGTAGGAGGAAGGTCTGGGAAGGAATGCTTAATTGGCTATGCCCTCTGGTCTTTAGGTATCTCATTAATATGGAGATCTCTTGAGGCTCTGAGGTCTGTAGTCACGCCCTTAACCTGTGCTACCTGTGCTACATGACCTAAGGCCACACACTTTTCTTGGGAGGGGCTGTGGATAAGTGAAAGGAACCACAGCCCAGGAGCAAGACCGAACTCCTACCGTCCCATTAGGGTCACTGGGGTTCAAAGCAGACTCAACTGGGTACCCTAGTGCCTCTCACAGCCCACCGCCCCACACAGTTGGTAGCAATGTTTGATAGGTTTAGGAAGTATGGCCTGCTGGAGGAAGTATGTCTTTAGTGGCAGGCTTTCAGAGTAAAACAAGCTCATCTACTGCAGTTTTGATCTACTTTATATTCAAAGTTCAAGATGTAAGTCCTGATCCCACTACTCTAGCCCCCATGCCTGTCACTATCCTGCCATGACAGACTCTTATAAACTATTTCTTCTATAAACTGCCTTGGTCATGGTGCTTTATCACAACCACAGAAAAGTAACCAATACAAGGTATGTACTACTACATCTGGCACCCACCACCACAACTGGCCTACACTGAACTTTTAAGTGGGTACTAGAGATTCAAACTCAGGGCCACATGTAGGTATAGCAATCACCTTATCAGCAGAGCTACTCCTCTATCCCTTAAGATAAAATACTTAAATAATATGATAGAGCTAGCAAAATAACTTAGCAGGCAAAGGTATTTGCTGCAAGTAGGACCCAAACTCAATCTTGGGATACTACATGGTGGAAAGAAAACAGAATCTCAACTGTCTCTTGACCTCCACATGTCTTAGTATGTACGCTTTCTTCACACACACACACACACACACACGCACACGAACACGCATGCACATTCACACAAGAGAGAAGATATTACATTAACCACAGGAAAGTAAAGAAAACAGATTAGCAGGAACTGAAACTACATATTTACCTGAAATTTCTGAATTTCTCTCTGTTTTCATATGAGACTCTGTCTGGAATACTCTAGAACAGAAAAAATAAATAAACAAATAATACTGAAAATCCTTTATTTTTAAAAAATTTCCTACAGTTTTACTATTGATGGTATAAAGTGCTTTTAGTTAGTATGCAAATTTGTTTCTCTCTTTAATAAATTTTAAAGTTCTATAATAATATGTATTCCAAAAAATTGTTTTGTTTTATTGGTTTATTTATTGATATGGGTTTGGGCTATGTAACTTTAGCTAGCCTAACCTATAACTTCCTATATAAAACAGGCTGAGCTGTGAAGTGGTGGCACACACCTGTAATCCCATTACTCTGAAGGCAGAGGCAAGGAATTTCTGAGTTCAAGGTCTGACTGGTCTATGGAATAAGTTTTAAGATAGCCAAAGCTACACAGAGAAACCTTGTCTTGAAAACAAAACAAAAAAAAAAATAAAATAAAAAACATAAAAAGACCTCAACAATACAAAAACAAAACCAGGCTGCTCCTGAACACTAAGAGCTCTACGGCTTCTGCCTCCTAACTACTGGCCAGATGCAGTAGAGCACACCTTTAATCCCAGTGTTTCTTTCGGTTGGGAGAGTGTGGTTCAGAAGCAGGTGGAGCTCCATTAGTTTAAAGCAAGCCCGGTCTACTAGTGAGTTCCAGGCTAGTCAGAATTAAATTGCGAGCCCCTGTCTCAAAAAACCTAAAATTTAAAAAAAGGTATATATGTAGCAAATTTGAAAATTAAAGAATAAAAACAATACCAACCAGAAAGATCTAGAAATATGCTACAGTCTAATTCTACAGGCAACAATGTACTCTGGATTCAGGGTACTCAGCGTCTACTTCAGCCTTTTGAAGAGCAGCCACCTCATGTTCCAGCTGCCACAACAGACTATATTCCCTAAAAGCATAAACCAAAACAAACTCTAAAATGCAGCTATTTAAATGATATTCCCAATAGCATTTAGCCAGCAATGTTGTACCTCTCCAACAATGAGCTGGTAACAATTCCTGCCTTTTGTCTCTAAGAACAATGAACTTGCCCAAGCTGTGCTAGTGCAGGCCTTTAATCCCAGCATTCAGGAGGTCCTAGTACTTGGGAGGCAGAGGCAGGCAGATCTTCGTGAGTTCCAGGACATAGATGACTATTACACAGAGAAACCCTATCTTAAAAAACAAAAACATCAAAAACCCCAATGAACTTTGCATCTAAGTAGCCTTTTGTGAATTTTAAACCTAACCCCAAGTCCACCCCATTTTCAAAACCTGTGTGTGTGTTGGGGAGGGTGTTTTTGTCTTTTTGAAATGAGATCTTGCTGAGTTGTCTATATTAGTCTTAAACTTGTAGGTTCAAGTAAGTTTATCTCTGTGTCCTAAGTAACTGGAACGTCTCTCTCTCTCTTTTTTTTTTTTTAACTAATAAAACTCTCCTTGCCTCAACTTCTTTGAATTCACATTTGCTTCACTTTGGCTTGTATATTCCCATTGTAACACTGCTACTCTCCAATAAATGTTTTGCTTCATTTTTCCTGGAAACACAGTCTTACTTAGGATAGCTTTTAACTCCTGATACTACTGTTTCCACCTCCCAAATAATGGGATCACTACCTACACCAACACACTCAACATAAATAATCTTTAAAATTAATTTTATTTATATGACGACACTGTTGCTATCTTTAGACATACCAGAAGAGGACATTGGATCCCATTCTAGATAGTTATAAGCTACCATGTGGTTGCTGGGAATTGAACTCAGGACTTCTGGAGGAGTAGTCAGTGCTCTTACCGCTGAGCCATCTCTCCAGCTCAACATAAATAATCTTAATCATTTGAGAATCTCTATTTGTTACTTAGGTTATTTATATTTTACATATCCAATAAGACAATGCATGTATTTAACATAGTATCTGTCACACCAGAAATATTTATTAGTGGCTTTTTTTGTTTATCGTGTTTTTGAGATAAGTGCAGAGTAAATGGAGTGAACCCACTTCTGGGTTTGAAAACCTACCAAGCCCTACTTGCCATAATCCCAGAAAAGGAAAAGTGTGTAAAGTGATGGAGTTAGCAGGTGCTGGTAGACTCACTGCTGGGGTTGCAGGCTTTCTGAGTTGTAAGTCTGTTATCTCCCTTCAGACAGCCACAAAGGTACTAATTCTCCTTGTCAAGACATTGCATTCTTACTCTCTGGAGACACCCCACCCATCCAGTAACTCTCAGACTCCCAAAGCCTGACTATTTCCTGGACTTCAAGCTTCAAAAGCATAACCCTGTCTCTATTTTTCCGCCTTCCTCCTCCTGGGCGGCTGTAGAGCAGTTCTGCTCCAGGAAGAAAACCAAGTTCTTTTACTCTTTCCCATGTTGCCATGCTAAAACTCTTGTTCATCTTCTCTGGAGAATTTGGTGTTTAAGGGAGCAGCTTACAAACAGAGGCCAGACTCTCACCCACCAACCAAACTGTCTGGTTTTATCCTAGCCTCTCTAGCCACCCGGAACTGGACACTGAAGCCCATGGAGCATAGAGTCTGCCACAGATCTATACCATTTCCAGCCCTGTCTCAAAAGGCAACTCTATGTGATTGTTCTTTTTGGTCCCGTGGAGCCTAGCATAGGGCTGACAGACACTGCCACAAGGAAATACTTGTTACTGGAATCCAGAGAGGACCCCAGAAAATCAGTTTCAGGTGTGAAGAGGAGATGAGTATTCTTATGAAGATTATCACTTTGAACAAAAAGATTTAAAGCAAGCAATAAATGTGAGGAAGACATAGTTTAAAACAAATAAGCAAACAGAAGCCTGTGAGAAGACAAAGGTCCTGTAACAGTGTTCGGTTGGTTGGTTTGGTTTGTTTGGCTTGGTTTTCAAGATAAACCTTGAATTGGGGTCTGCCTGGCTCTGATTCTCAAATGCTGAAATTAAAAGTGGAATGCCACAATGTCCCTCTCTGTAACAATCCTTAGGATCTGGTGGCTTCTATTTTGCCACTGAAGCATGAGATGATAATATCATCTTCTACAGAGGGAATAAAAATAGTATTCAGTCCGAAAGAAAGAAAGAAAGAAAGAAAGAAAGAAAGAAAGAAAGAAAGGAAAGAAAGAAAGAAAGAAAGAAAGAAAGAAAGAAAGAAAGAAAGAAAGAAAGAAAGGGAGAGAAGGAAAAGGAAAAGAAAAAAGAAAAGCAAAGAAAAGCAAAGCAAAGAAAAAAGAAAAGAAAATCTACCAATCCCTGGAAATCTCCACCCTGGAAAACTCCTTCCCCGGGAAAGCCTATATAAGCCTGTCTCCTGTTCAGTTCAGTGCTGCTTCTTGCTCCAGCAGAGGCGGTTACCTTCTTGTGTTTTTCCCAATAAATCTCTTGATGAGGTTTGTTGTGCAGTGACTTTGTGGTATACCTTGGCCCCTAACTGCTAGGATACCTTTCCCTTCTAAGCTCTAACACTCACATAGGGGAAATCTCTCTCCTCAGAGCTATAACACTTCCACTGGGGAAGCTGTTCCCCTCAAGCTGTATCATGTGCCTTGGGGATTTCCCATCAGAGTGGCAACACTTGTATTGGGAAAAACAATGCCTTAAAGCTGAAACACATATATACATACAACAGAGTCTCGCTATGTAGCTCAGATAACCCTTGAACTCACTATGTAGTCAAACTGGCCTTTAACTTGGAGTGGCCCTGGCTTCAGACTCCTAAATGTTGAATTACAGATGTGTGCCATCATATCTGGCTTAGTAGTGGCAGTTGATAATAAATCAAATATATTTAAGCTCTTTTCTTTCAGTAATGCTTTTTTACATTTACTTTTTTTTAATGTTTGAGTATGTAATATGTGTGTGCCTGTTCACATGTTACTAAGCACATGTCAGTGTCCATAGGGTAGTCATATAAAGTTCCCAGGTACTCAAAGCCTCCGAAAGCTAGCAAGTGAGTTCAAGACTAGCAAGGCAACTTGGTGAGACTCCACCTTAAAACAAACAATAAACAAACAAACCCAATAACAAAAAGCATGGCCTTTAAAAAGGTTGGAGAAATATAAATGAGGAATGAGAGAGAATGCAGATCAAACTCCAGGACTTTGGTAAGATTTCTGAACATAAAACAAATATGACCTCTTCTTAAATGTCTTTGAGTTGGGGCCAGCATGGTCTACATAAGATACTATCTCAACCAAACAAAACAGAAGTATATAAACAGAAGCCTATAAAAGGAATCATAAGATTAAAAAAAACAACAAAAAGAAAACATTCCCCAGAACTATGTGTGTGTGTGTGTGCGCACACACACACAAATTCTTTAATGTTTATTTAAGTAAAACAGATTATCTAAAAGTTACCACCATGTATTTGACAGGGAGAAAACCTATAACATTTTACTTAATTTTCTTTCCAACTTACTTTATAGTATCTGCAAAGCTGACTCGCCGAGAGCTTTTCCTGGTTCTTGGAGCATTAGATTCCTAAGAGAAAACAATATAGGATACAATTCTTAATATAAATCACTATGAATTAGATCTCCAGACTATTAGAAGCAGAGATCAAGTCTTATTTTGAATTAATAATATAAGATTTCCAAACAGCCCAATATAGAAGAAATTAATGAACATGAATATGATTTTCTAAATACTTTTTTGGGTGGCTGCAGTACTAAGGATTGAACTGGTAGTTCATGTAAATATGTATTTTCTTTTGTTGTTGCTTTGTTTGTTTTGAGACAAGGCCTGAATATATAACCCATGTTGATCTCAAACTCGTAACCTTTGTGCTTCAGCTTTCTGATTGCTAGCATTTAAGGTATGTGTCACCACTCCTAGAGCATGATTTTCAGTAAGAGTTAAAATAAGCATATTAGTGTTTTTTGACCTTTTGGCTAAAATCAAAGAAATAAGCATACTAACACAAACAATATATAACAAGAAAGACTGGACACTAAACAGGAGCTATGTGGCCAGCTACACTGATCTTATTACAATGTATTCTTCTACAATTACAAATAAACAGCTTTTTGTTTGTAACACAAGGTCTTACTTTGTAGCTATGACTAGCCTGAAACTCTCTATGTAGACCAGGCTAGATAGAACTCAGAGAGATCAGCCTACCTCTGCCTCCCTAGTGCTGGTATTAAAAGCATGCAGCATCATGTCCATTTAAAAAAGTTTTCAATATAGTAAAATGCACATAAGTTACCATCTTTTGTGATTGTTGTAGTTATTGTAGTCCATAGTCTATGCTACATTCAAATTTACTATAAAGCCCAAGGATAAATTTGAAATTTCATTTTCCTAGTGCTAAAATTACAGGCCTGTGCCACCATACCCAGCTATAACATAATTTATCATCTTAACCACTCTGCATTGACAAGAACTTACACTTGTGAGTGGTAAAAAGCACATAAAGTTAAATTTACCATCTTTACCATTAAAAAAAAATGTGTTCATGTGTGCTTGTGTGAGTTATGTGCATCACATATATGCAGGTGTCATGAAGTCAGGAAAGGGTATCAGATCATCTAGAACTAAAGTTACAGGAAGTTGTGAGCTACCCAGCTAGAACTGAATCTGTGTCCTCTGCAAGGCCAGAAAGTGTTCTTAACCATTGCGTCACCTCACCACCCTCATCTTAACAATTTTTAAGTTCAATAGTGATAAAAAACATCTTGTGTAATCACTCTCAAGATCTTCATCTTACAAAATGTTAACTATACATATTGAGACTAGAGAGATGGCTTAGTAGTTAAGAGCACATACAGCTCTTACAGACAGAGTATCAGAGTTCATTTCCCATGTAGGAGGTTCACAATCACCTGTAATTCTGTGATGCCTCTGTGACCTCCATGGACACTTTCACACATGAGTGCATATGACACACACACAAAATTAAAACAAACAAACAAAATACACATTTAGATCCTTCCTCCAATTCCTTGGCACCCAGCATTCTATTTTGGTCTCTATCAGTCTGATTATACCTCATGTCAGTGGTAACAAGTAGAATTTGTCTTTTTTGAGACTTTTTCTTTTCATTTAGTTCTTTGATGCTTGCATGCTGTTGTATGTCAGATTTTTAATATCGAATTTCATTATTTATAAATAGCACATTTTATTTAAGCAAAATAGATGGACACTTGATTTTTCCTACCTCTTGACTACTGTGATTAATGTTGCTTTGACTATGTGTCTCTTTGAGGGGGCTGGAGAGATGGCTCAGTAGTTAAAAATATGTACAGCTCTTGCAGAGAACTCAGGTTTAGTTTCCAGCACTCCAATTGGAAAGCTCATAATTGTCTGTATTTACATCTCCAAAGGATCTGGTTATCGCTTCTGGCTTCTGTGGGCTCCAGGCATATAGAATACATACTCATGTGTAGCATCCACATATACACATAAATTAAAAATACATCTTAAAAAGAACCAAGAATAGTATGCCACCTATATTAAACAGTCTATATATCCAAAGGTCTAATCAGTCACAGCAGGCATGACAGATAGTAGATAAAGTGCTTGCCATATAAGTGAGAGAACTAAATTTCCAATCTCTAACTTCCATATAAAAAGTTATACATGGAGGCCAGATAGCTCAACAGGTGAAGGCATGTACTAGATCCTGTTCTAGGTTAGAGTCAAAATACTAGTCCCTATTCTAATCCTAGCAGGGGTTTAAATTAATTAGCAACAAATGGATTTTGAAATTATAAATACCAACTTATTAAATAATTTGGACTTTTTTTTTAAACACTGTGCCCCAGGGCCTCATGCACAGTAGATAAGCATTCCATTACTGAGTTACATCTCTAGCCCAGAAGTAGTTGACAAGAACATGGAAGCAATGAGATACTTACTTGTGCACATTTAAATGGGAATCATTTATAGTATCATTTCTTCACTTAACTAATAAAATTCATGATGATCTCTGAAGCCAGGAATGATGACAGAATCTATAATCCTAGCACTTGGGAAACTCAAGTGGAAAACTGCCACAGGTTAAAGGTCTCTCTAGTCTATGTAAGTGAAACCTAACCTGAGCAAACCAAGTCCTCCAAAATAAAATCTGAAATTGCAAAGCATTTGCATTAGAGACTTACCTGAATTGTTTCATTTCCACATTTGAGGTCCTGAAGAGGACTCCTTGGGGGTTTCAAAATCTAGAGCAATAATTAGAATTAGTCAAGAAAATTTAATGTAGCTGCTAGTCAATTTAAGTTATATGAGTAGAGAGCTAAACTTTCAATTAAAATCCCTGAGATTCTTCAAAATCATATTATTCACTGTTATGTAACTGGTTTAAATATCTGACATTTATGCCTTCTCCTGACCCACTCACCCAAATTCTTTAGCACAAAATCATCTAAGTGTTCTGGGTAATGCTCCACACCAACTCAAGGATACTGAGACCATCTAACAGTCTGCAGTTTGTTTTTTCATAACGTGCAGCTCAGGAATGAGGGCATGCCCTAATAGGATAAGCACACTAACACAATTTAGTTCTAAGTCCTATTTTTCTACCTTGAGAGAATACATCAAACTCTTCACATAGAACTTAAACATAGAAATAAGAAGCACTAGATATATCATAGCAATTAGAGATAATTACATAAATTATGCCTGTTAGCAAAAACTACCCAAAAGCAATTGAAATAGAAAAAAAGGAAAGAAAATCCCAGCAGAGTTATGTTAGAATCCCTTATAGGTAACTTTTACATATAGGCACCCTATACCATTGTATTTTCCAGTTTCATAATCAACATGAATTTACTGTGTAAATCAACTTGGGTGAACTTTTGTCTTGCAATAGTTTGAATGCCATGTTAAATATATATTTAAAAAAAAAAAAAGAAAGAAATTTATATGTTTTAGGCACTTATATTTAAATATAATTTATTATATAAACATTCAAAAATATGTTGTAGAAATATGCTAACAAAAAGTTTATCAAATTACAAAAAAAGTGCAAAAATATGAATTTTAGTACATTTACTGAAATGTATAACCAGACTATTTGAATCTTTATCCAGAAAGCAGTAAGAAGGTAGCTAGGATGCCAAGGTAAAGCCACAATCAAAATTCCTGTAATTGTAGTCAGTAAAAAGTAACATCTATTAATTTAAATAAAAATATTTCTTACTGAGGAATGCTGTCTTCTAACAGGCCTCTGTGTATTGTCACTAAAAGAAAAAAAGGAAAAGTTATTGTTTATGTAGATAAACTGAATTTCTAAAAGCTACCATCACTTTATACCTTATGTGTTATAAGACATAAAATTCTGCATTTAAGAATACAATGTTTTAAAGGTACATTATGGTCAAGCCTAGTGGTACAGGTCTGTAATCACAGCTCTTCAGAAGCTCAAGCAGAAGGATCACAAATTTGAGGACTGCCTCAGATACCAAGTAAGTTCAAGGCCACTCTTAGCAATTTAGTGAGACCCTGTCTCAAACCAAAACATAGAAGACTGAGGGTTAAGGCTCAGTGGTAAAGCATTCATCTAGCATGCATGAATCCTAAATTCAATTTCTAGCACCAAAAGGGGTGGGCGTAGAAGAAGCTGAGAGTATGGTCTAGTGATAGTTCTTGTCTAGTCTAAAGATCACTGCCATTACATTCTGCTAGTTAGCTGTTCCAAGGAAGAATATGAGATTTGTTGCCCAAGATTTGTTTTTCAAGAAAAACTGAAAACCTAATTATTGTATGAAATCTTGAGATTTTTTGCAATTTTGGTAATTATCTGAAAAATCAAGTATCATATATATTAAAAATTAGGAACAGACGTGACTGTTAAGGCACATGCCTTTAATCTTAGTACTCTAAAGGTGGAGGCAGGAGAATCTCTGAGTTTCAGGCCAGCCAAGGGCTTCATCATAAGACTCTGTCTCAAACAACATTGTCTTGTAGGCTGCAAACAGATCACTAGTTTATGGTATCAATTTTAGAGAAATCAGTTAATCTCGTAAGACCTTAATGAGATGGGAGGTGGTGCCTATAAAAGTCCCTCAAGTCCTAAGTTCTTACTCTAAATGATGGCAGCCGGGCGGTGGTGGCGCACGCCTTTAATCCCAGCACTTGGGAGGCAGAGGCAGGTGGATTTCTGAGTTCGAGGCCAGCCTGGTCTACACAGTGAGTTCCAGAACAGCCAGAGCTACACAGAGAAACCCTGTCTCGAAAAACCAAAAAAAAAAAAAAAAAAAAAGAAAACAATTTCAGACATTACTAATAGTTCTTAACTAATTTTAAATGACCTTTCTGTAATAGAAAATAACATTTTAGCAGCACTGAATTAACTTACTTCTCTTCGTTAGCCTCTGAATATATCCCATCCATTTTGGAAAACTTTTATTTTCTGTAAAATAAAAAAAAGACACATAGTATTAACAAGTAAAAAAGATGAAAAAATATAATCTATGGGAGATTAAGGATAACGGGTATGACTTTAGAGTTATTTTGTAAAGAAGACCAAAAATAAGAAGCAAAGACTACATTGTGAGCTCTAAAACATGAGAAATTTAGGACAGTACCATGTTATATTTACTACTGGAATTTTTAATACTCAGTAAAAATCTAAGCCAGGATTATGGTCATCCTTATAATCCTAGTACTTGGGAGGTGGAGGCAGGAGGAGCAAGAGTTCAAAGCTAATCTAAGTTACATATCAAGTTCCAAGTCAGCCTGGGATCTATCAAGAAGCCATCCCTCTTGCCCTCTATCCCTAGTCCCCCCCCTCAAATCAAAATAATATTTGTAGACTAACTCTGAGCACGATGATATGGACTTTCCAATAAAAAAGTGGGCTAGTTTGCATAATTAAGTAATATAATACTTGGATTATATAATAATTCAACCTTTAAATGGAAGTCAATCAGTACCTAAAATAGTGGATATATCTTAGGAAAACTGAACTACGCTGGGTATGATAGCACATACCTATAATTCCAGAACTCAAGAGGTAAGAGGCAAGGAGAGTTGCTAAAGTCCTAGGATTAAAAGGATGTGACACCATACCTGCTCTAATTTTTTTTTTTTTATTCTGAACGAATCTCAAAGCTTTAATGTTCAGCTCTCAACTTAAAGGTAAAGGCCCCACACTCACCTGCTCTAATTTTTAACATATACATGATGTGTCAGGAGCCAACAAGCTAATAACTAGCAAGTGATCTTCCTGAGATGTCCTGCCTTGGATTAAAAATCTATGACGGATTTGCTCCAGTAGGCAAGGACAAGGAGAAATTCATTTTAGGAAAGACCCCTGCTATTAATATGCTTCTCCTGATATCATTAAATATATATAACAATCACTAGGTATTAACCCACCCTTTTGAGCAGATCTCTGCAGAACAATGAAGATGTACTGTCTTGTAGTGATGCTATATAGACAAATAGATGACTTCTTAATTCTTAATGACGATCTCATAAGAATTCCTAAAATTATAAGTATTTATTATGTTCTTTTATAGTGGGACTGCTATTAGGTTCTTTCTGATGTCAAAACTGCAATGAGAACTCTGTCTGCCTATAGTGTCTCAAGTTAACTGTTTCTGAGATAGTAGGCAGGCTTTCTACTACTCAGAGCACATTCCAAAAAGTTAAACCATTGACCAAAGATCATAAAAAGAGAACTAACAATTTATTATAGGTGCTAGGACAGAAGATAAAATATTTACTGAGTTTACCTATACAAAACTTCACTAATAACTTTATTATGGTTTTAACTCTCCATGAACCTGTGGAGCTGTGACAGGTGATGAATGTTTAGCCAGATAGTTACTCCTAATGGATATGCATGTAAACATTCTCTGTTGTAAACTTCTTATTTGATTTATGATTTGAATTTATGTAGATTGTGATGAACTTTATACCATGTGATCATGAATTCTGAAAGATGTGTAAGTGCTGAGGACAAAGAAGAGAGCAATTCTCCTTGTCCCACTTTTCTTAGCATTTTCCTTCTTATCCCCCTCTTCTTAGCACTCCTTGTCCTGCTTATCCCCCCTTTCTCAGGCCCCTTATCCCCCTTTTCTTACAAGCCTGGTTCCCATTTTTCTTAGAGAACTTTCATAGGAAACTTTTTACAATTTAGAAATAAACTCTAGCCAGGCAGTAGTGGCACACGCCTTTAATTCCAGCACTTGGGAGGCAGAGGCAGGTGGATTTCTGAGTTCGAGACCAGCCTGGTCTACAGAGTGAGTTCCAGGACAGCCAGGGCTCCACAGAGAAACCCTGTCTTGGGAAAAATAAGAAATAAACTCTAAAATCACTTTTCAAAGCGTCCCTTTCTCTTCCTGTGACTACAACTAGCAGGCTGAAAGTTAGAGCAGCACAATTCCTGCTGAGATAGAACAAAGGTGACTTTACTTACTCTCCTGATGTTTTAGGATGAGGTGCAAAACAGTTTGTAGAAACTGAGAAGGCAGGTTAGCTACTGCAGCTAAGCAACTTAGAATTAAGATAAGAAATGTTTTATTATTATACAGCAACCCTAAACATCTCGTAAGACCACATCTTACCTCTGCCAATGCTCTTTCCCCTTCGCTGCCTCAAGAAGAAGCAAACACAAGAAAGAAGACCTGTCAGGGCTGGCCCCCTGGCAATGGTGCTTAATTTTTTTTAGTTAATTACCCAAATTGCAAAAATCTCAAGGCTTTTTTTCATTTCATAGAATAATTAGGTTTTCAGTTTTTCTTGAAAACTCAAGTGCGACAGCACAATTCACATTCTCTAAGTTCCCCGGGTAGCCTTGAACTCATTCAGTACAAGACTGTCCTTGAACTTTTAATTCTCTTATCCTTTTAATTCATATCCTTTTAAGTCTCCTTATCAACCTTGATTACAGGAAAGTACAACTAAATCCAACAATAGTATTAATGTTTTATATATCATAGTCAATTATTCAAATTGGAATTCTACTCAATACATATTGAGTGGAACTGGAACTGGAAATCTATTCAATTAAGATAGCTCAGCAGATAAAGGCACTTGTCACTAGGCTTAACTACTCAAGGTCAATCGCTAGAACTCACATGGTAGGAAAGAACCTGAACAGACTCCCCTTAAGTTAGCCTCTGACCTCCACATCTGCAGTATAACACACACACACAAAATAAACACATATAAGATTTTTCTCACTGCATACATTAACTAGAACCTTACCTTCAGGTAAGAAAAGACATCTCAGGCTAAAAATAATAGCTATAAAGTTTGACAATTAATACTAGCCATTTCTTTTTTTCTTTTTCTTTTCTTTTTTGAGACAGGGTTTCTCTGTATAGCCCTGGCTGTCCTGGAACTACTTTAGACCAGGCTGGCCTCAAACACAGAAATCCGCCTGCCTCTGCCTCCCAAATGCTGGGACTAAAGGTGTGCGCCACCACTTCCCAGATTACTAGCCATTTCTATCATAATATTAAATTAATACCATATATACTACTAACAGTCAATATTCTTACTTTTAACAATAAGCAAAAAAAATAGATACCTAAAAGATAATATTTTATTTCAGATATTTTTTTCACATACAATATGAAGCCAAATTTAGGGAACAGATCTTCATAATAAGTCTGAATTATTAAGTCTGAAATAAGTATTTGGGTTTGGAGTTTTTGTTGTTGCTTATTTGTTTGGGGTTTTTAAAATTTATTTAATTTTATGTGCACTGGTGTGAGGGTGTCAGATTCTCCTGGAACTATAATTACAGACAGTTATGAGCTGCCCTGTAGGTGCTGAGAATTGAATCCAGGTCCTCTGAAAGAGCAGCCAGTGCTCTTAACTACTAAGCCATCTCTTCAGCCTCTGTTTTTGGTTCTTAAGATAGGCTCACTATGTAGCCCTACCTGGCATGGAATTCACTATATATAGACCACACTGGCCTCAAACTCACAGATAATCTTTCTGCCTTTGCCTCCTAAGTGTTGAGGTTTAAAGCAAAGATCACCACAACTGGCTTGGCTGCTTTAAACAAAATGTACATAAGTTGAGTGTTTTGTATGGATGTATGTCTGTTCATTTGCACCTAGTTATCTGTGGAGGCCAGAAAAAAAAAAAAACTGAATCCCCTAGAACTGGAGTTAGGGACAGTTGTGAGATGTCATGTAAGCACTAGAAATTGAATCAACCCCCCTGACAAGGGGCAAAGAGACACCTTGTTGGTGGTATTGTTCTTATATTAAGCAGGGGCAGAGTAGATGGCATCCTAGCTTGATAGTCAAAAGTTGTTTTATGCCTAGGATTCATAAAAATCAAATCAAATCCAGACCTTGAAGGGAGGAAGAAAAAAAGACAGAGACTTGTGGATCATCAGAGACCTGCCCTCCAGTGCAAGGCACAGATACCTGCTTGCAGACAGGCCAAGCAGTATAGACAGAGGATGTCACCCAGGGACCTGCCAGTCATATGGCCAGCCTTCAGCTGGATCCACCACAGTGTACAAGTATTTGATGGTCAGATGGGAGAGAACAGAGAAGTGGAACAGCTTGAACAACATAAAGATGGAACTGGACGCTTGAGGGAGGAGAGAAGTAGCCTGTTGTGAGTGACCAGCCTTGCCACTGGAGCCAATTCTGACTTTGTGCCTACTCAGTGGCAGGGGTCATGTAGCAGGGTCAGTGTCCATGTCTGTGGCTCATATTTGCACTAGAGAACATGAGGAACGTGAGGAAGTCTTTGGTCGGAGCAGCCACCAGGGACTACTTGGATGTCCAGGGGCTGTGTCAAACTGGCCCTGCCCCTCACTGGCTACAGTGCTCTAGAGAGCCAGCCCCATCTCTCACAGCTGGCAGCACTCACAAAAGTGGGCTCTGAGCCTTGCCCAGGTGGTAGAATAAAGCTGCTACTGGTGGGGGTATGGGTGAACAGGCCCCAAGGGCATGAGTGTAAGAGACCTGACCCTGCCATTGGGGTGGCACAGGCACGGAGGTGATGCCCCCGTCCTCTGCCACCACCTCCAGCAGTCATGAAAGCTTCCCATAGGGTCATGAGATCCAGAGATATAGCTCTGCCCCTCAACAGCTGCAGCACTCAGGAGAGTGGGCTCTGAACCTCACCTGGATAGCAGAACAGAGCTGACCCTGGTTGGTGGGACACAGGTGAACCAGCCTTCAGGATGAGATTCAGGGCAAGTTTGCCTGCCATTCATCTGCTATGAGGTGTTGTGGGTGCAGTGGTGTGGGTGCAGGAGTGATGCCCTCGCCCTTCCCTACTTTCAGCAGTCAGAATAGCTGGCCCTGCGGTCATGAGAGTGGGTAAGCTGGCTCTGTCCCTTGCAAACTGCTGCAATAGGGAGAGCAGGCCCTGCACTTCTGGGCAGCACAGTAGAGCTGGTCCGAGTTGAGGGGACAAGGATGAGCCAATCCTAAGGACAAGATCGTGGGAGAGTTGGGCCCAACTCTCAACCTTGAGAGTTATGCTGTAAGGTGGTGTGAGTGTGGGGGTGATGTTCTTCCTCTTGCCTCTTGCTGTAGTTGGTAGAGCTGGCCCTGAGGGCATAAGAGCAGGAGAGCTAGCCCTGTCCCCTCACTGGCTATAGCACTCAGGACAACAGGACCTACACCTCACCTGGGCAGCACAGTAAATTTGGCCCTGGTGGAAGGGGCACAGGTGAGCCAGCCCCAAGGGTGTGAGAGCAAGAGAGCTGTCCAGCCCCTCATAGGCTGCAGCACTTGGGAAAGTGGGCCCCAAGCCTTGACTGGGCAGCACAGTGGAGCTGCTCTGGAGGCAGGTACAGGTGAGCCAGCCCCAAGAGCATGAGAGCAGAAAGGCTGACCCTGCCTCCTGCTGATGGTGGCATTGTCTGGCCTAGCCAGAGCAGTGCTAGAAAGCTTGCACTGGTGGTGTAGATAAGGGAGAACTGGTGAGCTAACCAGTTGTTACCACTTAGGCCCAGACCCAAGGCTCTGAGATGACCCACCCCAGAATCTATAAGGGCCAGTCCTACTGTTCCAAAACTGCAGGATCTCTATGATACAGGACAACAGAATAACTGGGAGGTGTGCCATTGAGGATTCAATACTGATGGTGTCACAGAAGCCAAAGATCTTGAACCAGACCAATGACTAATTGCAGTGAATATTTGCAAGTGAAATGTGTGGACAGAGAGATATACTGTGGAACACACTGTAAAATGCTGCTACAGTTTCCACAATGAAATGTTTTCTATCCTTTGTTTTGTTTCTTTTGGCTGTTGTTTGTGTGTATGTATTTTTTATTTTGTGGGGGGAGGTTGCAAGGGCAAAAGGCAGATATGAGACAGGGAGATGTGCAGGACTAGGGTACATGACAAAGAATCAAAAAAATTAAAAAAAAAAAAAGAAACTGAATCAAGGTTCTTCCTCTCAAGATCAGCCAGTGCTCTTAACTACTGAACCATCTCTTCAGCTCATAAATATATGTATTTAAAGCAATTTCTACTTAAAATATTTCAGTGGCTTGCTATTGTATTGACATTCTTCACTGGGACCTATAAGGCTCAGGGGATATGGTCTCTGGTTGTCTCTCAGACTTCATTATTCCTTACTACTTCCTGATTTTAGTAGCCACACTAGCTGTTCTATTTCTATGCAGAGTTCTTCCCCAAGTTAGTGTATTGATAAAATGCTATTCTCTCCTGGCAAGAAAGACATTTTCTTGGTAGCACTATACATAGTTTCTCTGAGCATTACAACTGCACTTTAAAATCCTGCTATATAATTTATTATATATTAACTGGTGCTTCTATCTCCTCCCCCAACTACCTTTGCTACAGCAGAAAACTATGAAAATAAAGTGGTATGTCTCAAGTTTCCTGTTATATAGTCTACCAATGCTTTTTAAATGGTAGGAGCTCAATGATTATTTCCTGAATAAGTACCCTTCACAAGTAAGCATGTTACACTTACAACTATTAACTAGTACATTTGTCTCTTCTACAGAAGTGGTTCTCAACCTGTGGGCTGTGACCCCCTTTGGGACCAAAAACTCCTTTTACAAAGGTCCTATATCAGATATCCTGCATATCACATATTTATATTAAAACTCATAACAGTAGCAAAATTACAATTATAAAGTAGCAACAAATTTTTGTTTGTTTTTGCTTTTCAGCACTGGGTTTCCCTGTGTAGCCTTGACTGTCTTAGAACTAGCTCTATAGTCCAGGCTAGCCTGTAACTTGCCTCTGCCTACAAAGTCCTGGGATTAAAGGTGTGTGCCAACCACACCCAGCTGCAACAAAAATAGTTTTATGGTTGAGGGTCACCACAGGAAGAACTGTACTAATAATGAGTTGCGGCATTAGGAAGGTTGAGAAACATTGCTGTATAGAAAACATTTCAAGTTCAACTTATCTTTTATAGGAATAGTTTCAAGTTCCGTACTCAAAACAGATAAGTACTAGGAAATATTAATCCAAGGTAACCTAAACATTGTTATTTGAAAATCTTTGAGAATCATTCCTCTCCAACTTGTGGACTAGTTACTTAACAAATGAGATTCAAAACTTTCTGGAAGTCTTTAATTTCATTAAATGTTTATTTTATTATATAACTCACCTTTAACAAAACTGGCCAGACCACTGTACTAAACCTTACTTATAAAATGTTTTTGATCACATTCATACTAATTAGTGTCTAGAAAACTGTACATTTGGCATTTAGGGGTATACTTATAACATATACTTATAGGTTTTTACTTATATACTTTCAGGTTGTTAGATATTACTAGTTTTTTAAACAGCCATTCTTGAAATCTATCAGGCACTGTGTGAACTAATTCATAATAGTGTCTATCTACATTACCATCAATTATAATAATGTATCATTGTGAAGTTTTGGCAACTGGTATGAATAAAAGTTAATGGGCTTAATTAGTAACTTGATTATTTAAGAAAAAAGTTTATTATCTTTTCCTTTAACTTACATTTATTAAATGGTTACCAAGTTGTTAGGTCATATTCATTAAATTTGTTGAACCTAGCTCTATAAAAATGAAGTTATTATGTATTTCTTTTGGATTGTTTGAACCAAAAGGTTTGGGAATCGCCAGTCTAAATAATCCAGGGCTCTGCAGATCATCAACAGTGGGCCAAAACAGTCTTTGAGAACTTTCTTTTAACTGAAGAAAATAAACAACAACAGCAAAACATCATGTAGCAGAGACCATCATACTGACCTGCAGCAAGCAGAGCCTAAAATACTACCTGGCTCTTTGTCCATTCCTGAATTTATACAACCAGAATCTACAGCAAGTATTTTCCACATTCTCCACTGATATAGACTCTAGACCTATGCTGTCAAATTCAATGATTATACACAATGAAATTAAGATGAAACAAATTAAAATTCAAGGTTTTGTGACCATACTACATTTCTTTGATAACCATAACCATATTTTAAGTGCTCCAAAAATGATTGCTAATGGATACCATGTTGGACAATGCAGATACAGAATATCAGAATCACAGACAATTCTATTGGAAAGGCTTATCCCATCCAGTATCTGGAGTCAATATATTCTCTTATTCTCAGCATCAAATACATCATTTATATCACCATTCCAAACATTTTACTCCATTTACATCTGTCATCTTGATTTCCAGCCATTCATATAGTCAAGAAGTACATTGCTTGAACCTAACCTTTAATGACCAAAAATCTTACAATATATTTCCTTCCACATCTATAAATCATCCCTCCAAAATTCTGACCAATGAAATGTCATCTCCATGAAGTCTACTTTATTTAGCACAAGACAATGAACCAATAAGACATACAAGAAACTCAACTGAACCAATTTAACTGAAATGAAAACTAACTTCAACCTTAGTGTCTAGAATGAACTGTTGCTTTGGTTTTTAGCCACATGCTTGTCTCTGCTAACTTCTGTCATAGCGTTTTATTGCTGTGAAGAGACATCATGACTACAACTCTTATAACAGGAAGCAGTTAATTGGGGACTTGCTTACAGTTTCAGAGACTTACATAATAATCATCCTGGGGAACCTGGCAGCAAACACAATGCTGAAGGAGTAAGGAGAACTTCCACAGCTTTGAACTGAGCTTGCTCAAAGCTCAAAGCTCCCCTCACGCCACCCCCCCTCCCGTCAACACCTCTCCTCCAACAAGGCCACCCAACCTAATCCTTTCAAACACTGCCACTCTCTATTGACTAGGCATTCAAATATATGAGCTTATGGTAGCCATCCTTAGTCAAGCCACAGCGTCTAATACATTTTAAAAATTGCAGTGGGCAATATTTTTTTTCACATCCAAAGAGAATCCAAAGCCTTTTGGATGGGAATGGAATTTTATGTAATCTAACACACCGATGTTGTCTTTATTAATGTTGGACCTGCAGTAACCCGAAACTATTATTGTGCTCAGACGGAGCCTAGAATTTAAAGTTCACTCACCGCCTTCAAACCACTGAAGCAGGAACTTCGGTCAGAAACACATTCCACAGGGAGATGGAGAGAGACAGTGGACCGAGATCCCGGAACCCTGACGAAAGATGGTGGGTGGGGCGGGCCCGGAGGCCCAGGGCGCTCCGCGCAGACGATAGGAACCGAAGTCGGGAATGGAGCAGCGTTGGGAAGGAGAAGCGAAACGCGGCGGAGGACTCCCCCGGGCCGGCCGTTGGTACTCGCGCGTTCCTGTCGGCTGTAGGCTCTTTTGAGAACGCCCGGCCGAATGAGCGACCCTCAGCAACCCGCGCCGCCCTTCAACGCTCAGACAAAATCCAAGGCCTCTCGGGAACAAAAAGAAGCATCCTAACCCGCCACAGACCACCTGCTCGACATGTTAAGGTCCGCGCGCTCCTCAGAATTGGACGTCACCTCCCAACGTCGGGTCAGAGTCTGTGAAGTATTCAAATCTAACCGCCAGAATGATGCGCATGCTCAATGCTGCACGCCGCTCAGACCCCACCCCTTCGGCTCCTCACCGGCCACACCCCTAAGACTTGTTTAAACTTTTCTGTCTTCCTCTGAACTGACTTAAGTTCCCTCGGGTTTTTCTCCTTTTCTACAGAATTTTCTTCGTCTCTATTATTCTGAGAACGGCCGTCTTCTTTCGATTGTTTGCAAAGTAAACAATCGCACAGTTAGCTTCCGTACAAAATGGCGACTTCCATGTTATTGCGTCACATCACTCTGTTACTACTCCCTATAGCCGCCAGGAAGAAGAGAGCTTCTGGGACGAGGTGGCCGAGTGGTTAAGGCGATGGACTGCTAATCCATTGTGCTCTGCACGCGTGGGTTCGAATCCCATCCTCGTCGGTGGTGCTCCTTTTGGTTTTCATTTTTTGCTAAATAATGTAATTTTATAATTTACAGAATGGAAGTAATTGAATATTGCTTCGGATTTTAATTCCAATCAGATTTTATCTAACACAATTAGTCTCAGCATGGAAGTGTTTTAGTTTGTAACATTGGAATTTGAAGGAATTTGATATTTGAAATCAATTGAAGGAATTTGGAGATTTTTGAAAGGCAGCTTTTGGAACGTTAGTACTCACAGATGAAAAAAAAGCAGATAAAGAGACTTTTTCTACGAATTTAATTTCTTACAAAGTAAAATAACAGGACAAAGGATATAACTATAGCTCATATGTTCAGTGGTGGTCTGGAACGTGAAGTGACCTAGCTCTGAGATGAATGGTTTCAGTTATTTAATAAAGTCTTACTCTGAGGGCTTTGATTTGTTTTTTGTTATTTTGAGACACAGTCTCATTGTGTAGTCCAGGCTGGCCTCAAGTTCAAAATCATCCTGCCTCGTCTTCCTAAGTGCTAGGATTACAAAGCTGTCCCACCACACTGGCTATTTTAGGGTTTTTAATACCTGTTCTGATCATGAGGTACCATATTGCATTACAAACGCTACCTCTTCCAGCCCTCAAGCAGGCTATGGGATTTGTTTTCAATGTATACATTAAAAAGATGCCCATGACACTTGAAATCTTGGTATGATCCAGAAACTACTGAAGAACAGCAACATGACTACCTTTCCAGAGGACAAGAGGCTGAATCTTCTGGATTTAACCAGAGAAGAGTATTAGGAATCAAAAACAAAAAACAAAAAACCCAGAGATTTTCCTCTTGTAAAATCATCAGGCAAATTTATTCAATTTATACTTAAAAACTCTTAATTTTTTTATACATAACTAAAAGCACCATATATTTTACATGGATTATGTCTCTTCAACTCTACAGAACCCTGTGATCATGATAGATATTTTCATATTCTATTATTGTTGTTTTACACTGAAAGATTAACTTGTCCAAGGCTATACAGCTTCTAAGTTGCAGACAGGACAGTGTAACCCAAATCTCTTGACTCCATGACTTTCAACCACCCCATCCTGTATGGTACCAGATCATGAAGAGTTCTTAATGATCCCTTGGGGTGGTGGTTTTACATTCTCCTCACTGGGAATGCTCAATGTTCAAGAACCCAGTGCCTGGCAGGTGCTTCAGCAAGATTTGTGGCACTGATGGTTGGAAGGCAGTCACTTTTCTCCTGGTTCCTCCATTTTAGGTCCAAATCCCTCAGGAATGTTGATACCTCCACAGTCAGCACTTTTGGTCAGTTCTCTTCAGCCATATCTTACTGTTCATTTTCTGCCCTGGTGGAACATACACCCCTTGAGGGACCTTGCAGACAACTCAGTAGCCTATTTTCTGGGGGTGTTGCAGCAATCATTTTTATAATCTCTCATTAAAATAAGGCAACGTGCTTTGGTGATATTCATCTTGCCTGTGACTTTGCCTCCAATAGAAATCATGTATTTTATATTATTGTGACTGCGTTACAATTCCTATGGTTTGAAAGTATCTGTCAGATTTCATGTGTCAGAAATTTGATCCAAGTTCAGTAATGGCACATGCCTTTAATCTCAGCATTCAGGAGGCAGAGGCAGGCAGATCTCTGAGCTCCAGGCCAGCATAGTCTACAGAGCCAGAGGCTTCACAGGGAAACCTTGTCTAGAGAATCAAAACAAAACAAAAATAAATGTGATCTAGTGCAGCAGACAGAGCATCAGCCTCTTAGATTTCTCAGCCTCAGAACTGAGACAAAGCACCTCCCACAGACTCCTCCATTTATGAAGCCGAGAGCAGCCTGAGACTCACTCTTTAGCTCCGGCTAATTGTACATCCTGCTTTAGCCTCCTTAGTCCTGGGATTACAGGACTGTGCCACCATACCCATGCCCAGAGAAATTTATATTCTTTATATATCATTCAGTTTCGTGTGTTCTATTGTAGTAACAGAAAGCAGCCTAAGACAGTATTCACTACTTCAAAACTATGGTCATTGTTAGACCTGCCATTAGACTTTTATAAAAAAGGATCTGGGTGTGGTGGCTCATGTCTGTAATCTCAGCACTTGGAGATCGGGAGTTCAAGGATATCCTCAACTATTTAGTCAGTTTGAGGCCAGCCTGGTCTATTTGAGACTCTGCCTTTAAAAAAATAAGTCTAGCCGGGCGGTGGTGGCACACGCCTTTAATACCAGCACTTGGGAGACAGAGGCAGGCGGATTTCTGAGTTCGAGGCCAGCCTGGTCTACAGAGTGAGTTCCAGCACAGCCAGGGCTATACAGAAAAACTCTGTCTTGAAAAACCAAAAAAAAAAAAAAGTCTAAACTACATACATGAATTACTGTTCCACAATTTAAAAATATTTTTGTTGAGCATCAGTATGTATAAGTACACATGTGCATTTTGGTTTTTGAGACAGAGTTTTTCTGTATAATCCTGGCTGCCCCAGGATTTGCTCTGTTCAGACTTGCCTTGAACTCACAGAGATCCAACTGCCTCCAGAGTGCTGGAATCAATGGCCACCTGGATGGGCTTTAACTTTTGATCCTTTTGCTTCAACTTCCAGGATAGTTTGGTGTATGGGCCTGCATTATCAGGCCTAGCTCTACCCTTTCCCTGAAACAGGCTTCTATTCTTCCACTCCTTAACCTGTAACTTTTACTGCCTCTCTTTCTGATCTCAGCTTAGGTGTTGTCCTAGTTAGCATTAACTGTCAACTCAACACAGCCTAGAATCACCTGAGAAGGAAGCCTCAACTGATGGATTGCCCAAAGTAGATTTTTCTGTGGGTTTTCCTAACTATTAGTTGTTCAGCCCACTGTGGGAGACACCATTCCCTAGGCAGTAGGGCTATATAAGACTCTGCCTTTAAAAGAAAAGTCCCAAAATAAATACATGAATTACTGTTCCACAATTTTAAAATATTTTTGTTGAGCATAAATATGTATGTATGTGGATTTTTGGTTGGTTCGTTCATTTCCTTTTCTCCATAGTTTCTGCTTCAAGTTCCTGCCCTTCCTTCTCTCAAGATTGGACTGTAACCTATGAGCTGGAATACACCCTTTCCTTCCATAATTTGCTTTTGGTGAGAGTGCTTTATCACAACAGAAAAGAAACTAGGACAGAAGTCATTTTCATCAACAAGCATCCCTAGCCCTGTGTGCTGTACATCCCCTTCTCCTTCCATCAGTCTGCTTTCACTTCCTTCTGAGCCTTTGCACCTCTTCTAAAAAGTCCTCTGCTCTTACCCAGCACTCAGGAGGCAGCACTCACCGGCTACTGCTGCACACTCTCTGCAGACCAGTAGTATAGGGCTGAATCATCTCCTGAGTTTTACCAGCTTCTGGGATTGATGGCTTGTTTTGGGTCCAGTTTCTACAAACAAAAGGTAGTTGAAGCTGGAGGAGGGACAGCTGCAGACCTGTAATCTAAGCATTTATGGATGTTGAAATAAGAGGAACACAAGCTTGACTTATGTGGTGGGAGACTCTCCTCAGCCACAACAACAACAAAAAAGTAGGTAGGTCCTGTTAATTCTTCTTGATTCATTATTTTTATTCTGTGTGTATAAGTGTCTTTCCTGACTGCACATCTGTGCTACATGTGTATGCCTGGTACCCTTAGAGGCTAGAAAATGTTGAGCTGAGCTATAGATGATTGTTAGCTTCCATGTAGATGCTGGCAACCAGACTCAAGTCCTCTGAAGAACAGTATGTGCTCTTAACCACTGCACTTAACTGCTGAGCCATCACTCCAGACCCTTTTAAAAGAGTTTATTTGTATTCTATGTATCTGGATGTTTTGTCTGCACGTATGCCTGTGCACTACATGTGTTCAGTCCCTACTGAGGCCAGAAGCTGGCCTTAGATCCCCTTGAACTGGAGTTACAGATGGTTGTGACCTAGCACATAAGTCCTAGAATCAAATCTTGGTTCTCTGGAAGAGCAGCCTATATTCTTAGCTGCTGGGTCATCTCACAAGCCCCAGGTGAGTTATCTTCACAAAGGAAAATCTTCAGGTGTTTTGAAAACTTATAATACACTAGAAAAATCTAGGGCTGGAGAAACGGCCCAGCAGTTCAAAGCACTTACTTTCTCGGCAGAGGACTGGGTTCAGTTTCCAGTGCCTAGAAGGCAGCTAACACCAGGTGCTACCACTCCACTTCCAGAGGCTCTGGGATCCCTGGATACCAGGTATTCATGCGGCACATACAGAAATGTAGGCCAAACACTCACATACAAAATAAAAATGATTAAAAATGGCTCAGCAGTTAAGATCACTGGCTGCTCTTCCAGAGGTCCTGAGTTCAATTCCCAGCAACCACATGATGGCTTATAACCATCTGTAATGTGATTTGATGCACTTTTCTGGCATGCAGGTGTACATTCAGCTAGAATACACACACACACACACACACATATATATGTATATATATAATCTTTAAAACATAAGAGTGAAGAATGAATTGAAAGTTCATTTAAAAAATATTGATCCTGGGGTCGTTTCTTACATGTATACATGTATAGAATACATTTTCGCCATCCTCACCCCTATTACCCTCTCTCATTCCCACTTCCTCTTCCACCAAAACCCTTCTTGTCAAGAGGTCCCCCCCCCCCTTACTGTCGTGCTTGTCTTTGGATGTGTGGTGCACTGTGATAAATAAGGCTGCTTACTTGGACATGGCTGGAAAGTGATTTTTCTAGTGCCTGGGTAACTTTTCCGTGGTTAGACCACTGAAGAAAATGACATTCGATCTCCCAGCAACCATTAACTGCCAGTAGCCCCTCCCTCATGCATGTTTTTAAATGACAGTGGACTCAGTCTTGTGCTTGGCTTGCAGAGGTAACTACAGCTGTATGAGTGTAACTGCAGTGTCACTCCCAGAAGACTTTTTAAGGTATCCCTCCTTATCCTCTGGCTCTTTTCTTTTCCGGTCTTCTCCCAGATGTTCTGAGCCTGACGGGTGTGATGTAGGTATTCAGTTCCAAGAGGCTCACTCCTGAACCTCTCCCTGCTTCACCTTTGTAAGCCAGGGTGTTAGTTCTTACTCTCATGAAATTACTGTGAGGCTTGCTATGAGACTACCAAGATTTTCTCTCCTGATGATTTCCTGATCCATATCTACCAGTACTTGGCTCCCATTTTCTAAGGGAATGAAAATAATCAACAATGGCACTTTATTTTAAAGAACGGGAAGGGGAAATTACTTGAATTAGTATCAGAGAGAAGAGACTGATAAACAAGTGAGAGGCGCCATCTACTGGATCAGTGGCGACTTCCAGCTTCGGGTGAGAAGAGTTTCATCTTTTTACCTTTTAAACCCCATCAACAGGCCTCTGCTCAAAACACTGCCGTCAACAGCAAGGTTACTTCACACTATCCTGAACTATTACAGGATAGTCCAGCCCCCAGTCCCTGGAAGATCATGAGAAAGGACTGATACAAAAATACTTAAGACAAACAGCATTTACTGCTTGAGTGCCAAGAGATGGGTCTCCATCCTCTGGATCCAGCTTCAGGAAGACTCAGTCCCTGTTGATTACGAACTTATCAGGGAAGAACTGTCAGTGGTTAGCTGGTGAAGCTCTACAGTCCTGGATGATTATACATCAACAACTCTTTTAAGACTTAAGCTCTGAAGGAAGAACTTGCAATGGACAGCTGTATGTGTATGTTTGCTTATAGTCTATGTCTTATTATACACAAGAAATCTTCAAAATCATGAGTGGTGGTCCATGTGTTTAACTCTGCCATTTGGGATTTTGAAAAAAAAACAAAAAACAAAAAACAAAAAAAACTTCAAGCCAAGCTTGTACATGGCTGTCTATAACTCAAACAATTGGAAGCTAAGAAAGTAGAAACTGAGTGGGAGGCCAACTGGGATACCGAGTAATCTGAGGCTAGCCTCTATATGTAGCAAGGTCCTCTCAAGAAAAACAAAGAAAAGAGAGAGAGAAGGAAAGATAGAGGAGGGGAAGAGTTACCCCAGTTACCCCAGATTCAAAACTTGCAAAAATTGGCTTTGTGTCTGTCCTTTTGTTTGACACAGAACACACACACACACACACACACACACACACACACACACACACACAGAGAGAGAGAGAGAGAGAGAGAGAGAGAGAGAGAGAGAGAGAGAAATATTATCCAATTATTTTGATGTGGCTAATGGCTGATAAAATGTGGTTTTGAAAATAAGAACATGCTTCACATGAGAGAAGAGCTGATTTGGAGTGAGTGGAAAGACAGCCATGAGAATGCACAGCGCTTACCTGTGGAAGACAGGGCTTTGGAACAGTGTAAGTGCCAGGTGGTAATAGTCCTGACTCCAGGGAATATGCCATTCTAAAATATGTCAGTTTTGTTAAGCTACACTGCTTCTGTCTTTGTTGTTATTTTGAGACATGAGTCTCACTATGTACCCCTGGCAGAGGCCAGAAGAGGGGAAAGATCCCCCGATGCTGGAGTGTTGGTAGTTGTGAGCCACTCAAAGAGCAAAGAGTGTTCTTAATTAAACCATAGCATTACCCTCCAGCTTTGACGTGTGTGTATGTGTGTATGCGTGTGTGTGTGTGTGTGTGTGTGTTAATCAGAATCCTTTTGGACATTTTAAAATTGGGCTGTTAATTCTTTTGTTGTTGAGGAAGATCTCATGTCCAGAATAAATATTAAGCAACACAATAAAAAGAGTATATTCCACTATGAGAGATTACTTCACACGAACTAGGAGAGATATGATCAGTAGAACAAACAGGAAAGAATCAGCGTTGGGTGGCTGGGTGGTGCTGGCACACCCCTTGAATCCCAGCACTCAGGAGGCAGAGGCAGGTGGATCTCTGTTCCAAGACCAGCCTGGTCTACAGAGCAAAATCCAAGACAGCCAGGACTACACTGAGAAATCATGTCTCAGAAAACAAACATATAACAACAAAACAGAAAAGAAAAAATGAAAAAGACACAAATTGTCTGAGTCCATTCCTGTGGAATAAAGAATAAACTGTTTACCAGGAGTTGAGAGAGATAAAAAGGGAAGAATGTGCTTAACAGGTACAGGTTCCCTTTAGGGATAAGAAATGTGTTTTGAAATCCTGAGATAAGGTTGTGGACATAGTAAATGCCAATAGTGTTTATCCTAAAGGGGTTAATTTTATGCTGTGTGAATTTTTTTTCTCAATTTAAAAAAAAAGCAAGGCATGGTACTTCACACCTGTATTCCCACTCTGGAGGCAGAGTAGGAGATATAGGGTTCAAGATCGGCCTGAGCTAGAGACACTTAGAAATACTAAGGGGCTTAGAGTTCAGCTGTAGAGCACTTGCCTTCTAATGGACATAGATTCTATCCTAAGCACTGGGGAAAGAAGGGAGAGATTGTAAGAAAGCAGTAAAAATGGACATATAAGGTGTTAGAAAAAAATGGTATATGTACAGATCTGAAAGCCCCAAACAAGCCAGAAGGAAGGAGGTAGCAAGTACAAGCAGGTTCCTTACTGTGAAACCTCAATTTTCCCCAAACCCTGAGTATCAACCAATGGGAGCAGTCCCTGCCTCAAGGCTCATCCTTGTCCCAACCCAAGAAGTCATTCTTCCAGTTGCCACATCCCTCAGTCTTCTTGCCAGTCATCCTGTGCCCAGGCTGGGATGGGTGAGACATACTCAAAATCTGGCCCTTTATAGCGGAGGGCATGCAGGAACATTACAAGATCCTGGGGCAAGGGATCTTGTCGCAACACGCGGCACTCGGCACAGAGCGGGTCTGTTTCTTGATTCACATTTGCTTTAGCTGCTTTCTCTGCTGTGTCCAGATGCTGAGAGGCTGCTTCAGCTCCCCCATCTATCTTCTGGGCTGCTGTAGACAACCCTTCCAGGCTGTCTTTGGCCAACTCTGAAGAGGGAGCTGTCGAGTCTATGAGTCCTGGGGCCAGGTCACCGTCACAGAGATCTAGCATACTCAGGCTTTCCTTGGCCTGATGTTCTGCAACCAGGTCTCGGAGCAGTTCCTCGTCTGTCTTTGGAATGTGGCCACCCTGGCCTCGAGAAGGACCCCAGGCAGTTGAATTGTAGATGGGGTCATTGAGAATGGGGTGGCCCAGGAACTGGAGGTGGACTCGGATCTGGTGAGTACGACCTGTAAGTGGTCGGCACTGTACCACACTGGAGCGGCCGTTGTAGCTCAGCCTCTGGAACACAGTCTCACATGGCTTGCCCCGAGGATCCACACGGCACACTCCTACCTTGTAAGACACCACTAAGATGGGTTCCTTACAAATTACCTCCTTGTCAGGGAACTCCCCTGCAACCCGGCATACATACTCCTTCTCCAGCTACACAGGAGGAAAAGGGAACAAGTCAGTCCAAGGTGAAAACAGAGTCTAAATCCTCTCTTCAGGTACACCAGTGTATCTGAGAGAAGATGATTCAAATCCTAATGCCAGCCTTGTCAGCTTCACCGCCCCAGGGAAGTTACTTAAGCTCTATACATCCCATAACCTCATCTAGAAAGTATGAAGTCAGGGGCAATGGCTCAGCGATCGTCTGCTGCTCTTGCAGAGGACCTGGGTTCAGTTCCCAGCATCTACATGGTTCACAACCATCCCTAACTCCAGTTCCAGGAGAGGTATTCTCATTTTAACCCCTGCAGGCAGCAGGGCTGTGGTGGCACATGCCTTTAATCCCAGCACTTGGGAGGCAGGCGGATTTCTGAGTTCAAGGCCAGCCTAGTCTACAGAGTGAGTTTCAGGACAGGCAGAGATATACAGAGAAACCCTGTCTCGAAAAACCAAACAACCAAAAACAAAAAACCCTGCAGGCACACAGGCGCACGAGTGCGTGTGCACGCACATGCGTGCGCAAACACACACACACACACACACACACACACACACACACACACACAGAAAACACTCATATAAAATAAAATGAATACATCTAATAGAAATTATTTGAAAAAGAAAATATGAAATCAGAAAACATTTACCTTATGGGGCTACCATAAGTACTTCATAAATTAGGTTCTAATCTGTTGGGGATTAAGTCTGGCATGTGCTCAATAAATGAATCCAGATGCGGAACATAATCCCCACCAGTGAGAATCTTAATCACACCTCTGCCAACCTTATCCAGTCTTCCTACTAAGTGAGCTCTCCTCAAAGTCCTAACAATGTTTAATGTTTTCAGAAGAGCAAACTACTAAGAAGCAGTATGTGTCATCTCCAAAGACCTTCTGAAACATGCAGGATAGTTGTCTTTGGAACTTTAGGTGCTAAGCCTCCTCAAAGGAAGAAGGTTGTAGATGCCCCTCAATCTAGAACTTCATGATACGTGAGTGCCCAGGAAGTAGTCTACAGCAGGCAAAAGCCTGGCCCACCTGCCGATCCCGAACTTGCTCATGGATCTTCTCGGAGACTGCAGCGGTCTTGGCAAACATGAGCACTCCCGAGGTGAGGCGATCGAGCCGATGCAATGGGCGTAGCTCCTTCAGTTGGTGCTCCTTGCCCAGGATGAAGATGACCGTATTGTGTCGGAAGCGACCACAGGGGTGCACAGGAATGGAGGATGGCTTGTCTATAACAACCACATCATTGTTCTCAGCTAGCAGGCGAATAGGCTCTGCTGTGACTGGTGGCTCATGTCTGTGCACTGTGTTCCGCAAGAAATCATTGTCCTGTCAAAAACATACATAACATTCAGCCTGGGACCAATAAACTATAGATAGTCAATAGGACACCCAGGTTCCTCAGTTCCTATTGACATGGAGGGATGGTCACAGGAAAGCCTTAAATAGAAAAAGAAGTAGATGTGGTAAAAACACACACAGGCATACAACCAGCTTTGAAAAATATGCAAAGTTGATTAAATTTCTTGGTGGTGAGATTATGAGTATTTTTGCTTCTTTGTATAATCTTTACAATAAAGTTTTATTTTAAATGTTTTCATTACATTCATTTATGCGTGTATATGCATAATGGCAGCCCATGCAGAGATAAGAGGTTGTGAGTCTTAGTAGTAAGGACCTTTACCTATTGAACCATTTCATCATCCTGATACAAATATATTTGAAAGAAAATGTCTTTTAAATAGAGAGAAAATCTCTATAGTACCAATTATAACCTTCAACAAACAACACCAACCTGTAAGTCCAGAGCTCTAGGCTCTACACAGATTTGACACAAGCTCACTACATACTCTTTGGCAAGTCATTTTAACTTGGTTTAATACCCTATGGTTTTCAAAATGGGAGAGATTATTCCCAAATCCTGAAATTCCCCTTTTCTCCTTATAATCTCTGTGAGCTAGTGTTAATGATAGGTGTCTCGTGGAATAAAAAAAAAGAAAAGAAAAAAACAAAAGCACCTGCCTAGTATCTGTCACTGACTTCCAAATTCTATACGCATCAGGACTTATGGCAAACGCAGCACACACTTTGGAAATCATACTGTTGCCTTACTTTGAGGTACAGTTTGGTCACAAAATGGAGAAGCAATACAAACTCCCCAAAGTTGCCACCTGAGTTTAATGTTAGTGTGCACAAAATGCTTAACTTTGTTCCTGATACAGCTAAGAGCACACGAATGAGGTATCTACTATTATTATTTGTACAAAGATTTATTATCATGCAGGGTAGAAAGTAGAAAGTGCTCTTGCCACAGGCAGATATAAAAGGAACATGAGAATTTCCATTTTTGTTTCTTGGAAACAAACAGCCTTGCTTGGAAAGATGAACAGGTTGAGTTTTAGAGTATGAAAAGGCTATCTAAGCCGGGCGGTGGTGGCGCACGCCTTTAATCCCAGCACTTGGGAGGCTGAGTGGATTTCTGAGTTCGAGGCCAGCCTGGTCTATAGAGTGAGTTTCAGGACAGCCAGGGCTACACAGAGAAACCCTGTCTTGAAAACAAAACAAAACAAACAAACAAACAAACAAACAAAACAAAAAAAGAAAGAAAAGAAAAAAAGAAAAAGAAAAAAGAAAAGGCTATCTATCTACATGGAGATGTGGGAAGAGGGGACTAAAAGAGACTCAAGAGAAAATTAGCTTGTTTCTAAAATACCATCACTTTACTCCCGAATTTATAAGGTGTGTCTGAAAGAACAAACAAACAAAAATCCCAAAACCGTCCCTCCTTTTCTCAAAGCCTGATTCTGGCCAGTCCCATCGGACACCACCTTGAGCACGATGCTGAGGTCCTGGACTGGTTCTTCGTTGAGATGCAGACGTCCTGCTCGGACAGCAGCCTCGTAGTAAGCCAGTGGTTGGGATCGGAACTCGGTGCTGAAGACGTGCAACAAGCTGCGGCCCACCCAGCGACCTTTACAGTAGGTCTGGAAGTCAAAGTAATAGGGCCGCACCTTGCGCAGGCCGCCCTCGAAGTAGTAGGTGGTCTCAGCAAAATGCTCATCGCTAAAGCTCACCCCAGTCCGTCGTTTCTTCGGGGGCGGCACAACCCGTTCCCCAGTGGCACCCTGTCGTTTTTTCCTCTTGCCTGAGTCGGCGGATGGAGCTGGGACCTGCTCTCCGTTCCCCGGGAGCTGCTCTTCGCCTCCCTGGGCTGGTTCCCCGCTCTCCGAGACCTGCTTCTCTACCGCCGCGAGCTCCAGGCGCTCTAGGAGCGGCTCTCCACTCGTGTCCTTAGCAGCATCTCCATTTTGCTGAACCAAAGCCTTCAGCCCGCCCGCTGCCTCGGCTTGCGCAGAGAGTGCCTCAGTCATCGCCTCTCCACAGCTACCCCAAGTCCGGACAAAGCTGTGGGACCAGAACGCCACCTGCCACTGCACAATATCCCGTAGGCGGCCCGGGACTCCCCGCCACATGACAGCTTGGCAAGCTGCTACAGGGTCGCAATCTGATGGCGTCACAAGATAGCAACCAATCAGGAAGCCCCAGTACAGAGGCGGGGTTTGCAAGAAGGGACTAGGTAAGTTGTTTTAGAGTTAGGTGTCCGAGGGAGTCCTTGCCTGTACCACCAAGGTCATAGATAGACTCCCCTCATCGAAGAGATCAGATGGTATTTCCTAAGGGAAATCTTTGGAAGTGCTTTATGTAAAAGACTTGAATGGAGACAATGGTGCACATTTCATATAGATGTGCGCTATTTTCCTGGGTCTCTAAAACGCTTAAAAGTATACTTAAAACAGTCAGAGGCAGCACACACCTGTAGACTTGGCGCTCAGAAGGCAGAGGCAGGAACATCAGGAGTTTCAGTTCTGTGTTCATAAAAGAGTGTCTCAAAATAAAAGCAGACAAGCAAAATAATAGTAATTATTATTGTTGTTGTTTACAAAAACAAATACGAGGCAAACAAGCAGGAAAAAAGTACCAATTAGAATGAAAGTTGCTACAACTATGACTGTAGTAGTAACGGTTTTGTCTACTTTGCTTTTACTTTTGAGGAGAGGTGCTGGGGAATTCTAGAGTCTCAAGCACTCGTTCATTTAATTATACCCACTACTACTATTGTATGATTTAAAAGGCTGCATATTATAGTATGTTACATACCTCGATAAAGCTATTATTATACATATATGTATTAAAGACACGATCCTCAGAAGTAATTTTTTTCACACCTGCCCTTCCTGCTAACAGCATGAAAAGAACTAGAGATTTCCTATTTGACTTCCATGAACTCTTATCCAGAGCCACCTGCATATTACAAACATTTACTACAATGCACAAACATTTACTACAATGCCCATCTTTTTAATGTCAGTTCTGGGGATCAAACCAAGGTCTGTGTTGCATGAGAAGCACTTTAACAACTGAGCTATCTCCCCTGCCTGCTAGGGTTCTTAAATGCAAAATACAGAAACCGGCATTGGCTGAGTTCATCAGAGAGGGAATTACTGGAAGGATATTAGTGCTTCATAGGATTCATGAAAGAGCTGAAGTATTGACCCAGCAAAGAGACCAAATCAAGGCAAGCAAGGCCTCTGAGAACTAGCTGTTACTGGAGAAGAAACCCACTTGGGATGCTGCCACTGTCCCCACAACCCTTTGTCCCCTAAAAATTATTAAATATCTCAGCCTCTTTGTGATCCTATCTCAAGATCTGGAATCCCACAAGAGAGCTTTCCTTCTGTCAAGAGGAATTAAGTCTGTTTTTATTTTACAGAGTGCCTGAAAATAGTCAATAATCCCATTTTTCTTCACAGTGGGATTCCTCCAAAAAGGTAGATATTTGGATGTTAGTGTCTAAAAACAGGACAAGTGTCTAGTCCATTTCAAGAATGTGAGCATGAACTTTCTCATGGGCATTTATTATACAAAATGTTAATATTGGCTTAGACTAGTCTTATCTTGTGTATTAGCCTTTTGGAAAAGATCAAGAGAAGATTTTTGACTAAATTCTTCTGTATATCAAAAGTCCCACAAAGGGAGGTGGACATAGGAGGATCAGAATTGTTAGTGAGTTCAAAGCTATAAACAAAAGTCTCACCAAACTAAGTGAAGGACAGAAGATGTCCTTGTGGTTTTACTTCAGAGCAGACTGAGAAATTTGAAGCTGTAGAAATGTTTAGACTGAATGCCAGATTCCTAATTACCTGCTTTAAAAAAAAAAAAGAGGTTGGATTTTACACTGGTTGTAGATACTACAGAACAGAATTGCTTCAAAGAGAAAACATTATCTTTTGAACAAGTTGCCTTATTAAGAAATTTACATTGAGGGCTGGTCATGGAGGTTCATGCCTTTTAACCGGAGAGACATCACACACACACACATACACACACACACACACACACACACACACACACACACACAGAAAGAGAGAGAGAGAGAGAGAGAGAGAGAGAGAGAGAGGGAGAGAGAGAGAGAGAGAGAGGGAGAGAAAAGAGAGAAAGAGACACAGAGAGAGAGACAGAGACAGACAGACAGATAGAGAAAGACAAATAGAGACAAAATCAGGGAAAGAAAAGGAAGAAACTTACAACGAGGGAAGTATTTTATTCAAATAAAATTATACATCAGCAGAGTTTCTGCTTCATAGAGTTTGTACAAACTCAGCTTGACCTGATCACAGACACAGTGAGTCATAACCATGATTGCCCCTGAGTAACTTTAGTTGATTTTTGCCACATAGTTTCCTAGTAACTGTAAGTAAACTAAGTTTTATGTGGAGCTTTGTAACTAGATCCCAGCACAGTCAATGCCAGATGACCTTGATAGTGAGTTAGGTAAACTAGGTATTTTCTACCTTGAATGCACTTTTGCTTTTTTACAAGAATATACATTTCCTTTCTTCTGGATGAAATTACAGGTATTCACTGATCTTATTGCCAGAAAGGAGCACACTTCATCTGCACATACCTAATAAATTGAACTGTATACAATCTGAGGTCTTTCTACCTCTTTCTTCAGTCTCATGTGACCTGGAGCCTGTTTTTCATACTGGACTGTTCTGGAACAGAGTTACATAATTAATAAATTAATTCAATTAAAGTGCAGATTATAGTGCTTAGAGAAATTGCTGGGTGTAAAAACAAGTCAAAAATCTCATTTCCCAGGCCGGAGAGATGGCTCACCGGTTAAGAGCACTGACTGCTCTTCCAGAGGACCTGAGTTCAATTCCCAGCAACTACATGGTGGCTCACAATCGTCTGTAATGGGGTCTGATGCCCTCTTCTGGTGTGTCTGAAGAGAACAATGGTAAATACTTAAAAAAAAATTCATTTCCTGACTCTTCTTGACTTTTGAACAGAAATATGCCCTCCAGCCTGATTGTCAAGTGATCTGTCTGCAAGGCTTGAGAAGCACTAATACACAACATTCCAGTATCCCGTGTACTTTGTAGGCATCTAGCATCTTCTGAACACTTCAAAAATTTAAAATATCATTGAATTTTTGTGGCATTAGATATCAAACACATACTGGGTAAATGCTCTCCCACTAAGCTATACCCCCAGATCTTGTCTCCCTCTTTTGAGTAGAGAACTTCTGACATTATATTATTGCCTTCAAGAGGTGAAAACCTCAAACTGGCTGTGATGGTTCATTTTGACTGAAACCTTATGAGATCGAGAGACAACCAGGAGATCAGTCTGTATTTATTTAGCACACTTCTAGGCATTTCTTGTAGGGAGGTTTATATGTGGTACAGAAATTGAGAGGGAAAGACACACCTGCTCAAAATGGAATAAAAATAGAAAAAGAAGGAAGCCTGAGCCACTGTCTATGGACACCAGACTCCGGCACATGAATCAGATTTGGAGGACTTGAATGAATTTGTAGTGTTGTAAATTTTAGAAAGTGTACTTCTTCAGCAACTGGGTCATTCACAGCTACTGTTTAAAGATATCTCATTGTGGTATCCAGATATCTGAGAGGCTAAATTAGAAATCAAGGATGTGAGCAGGACGGTGGTGGCACACACACACCTTTAATCCCAGCAATTGGGAGGCTGAGGCAAGTGGATTTCTGAGTTCGAGGCCAGCCTGGTCTTCAGAGTGAGTTCCAGGACAGCCAGGGATACACAGAGAAATCTTGTCTTGAAAAAAACGAGTATAAAGAGTGTGAGTAACACATGAAACCTTGGCACACCTTAATGAAACACTGGGAACCGCATTCTCAGGCTCCTTTCTGTGAGCCAGGTAACACTAAGCTGCTTTCTTTTACTCTGAGTCAGCACTGCTGCCATCCTGCTTGTTATTTATTTTGTTGATTTTTAGTCTCTCTGCTTTCCGCTTCTTTCAAATCATAGTTTAAGAGTGCTTACAGCTGTGAGCACCAGAGCATTCTGTGGTGACACTTGCTCATGACCATAGTTTGCTATAACTTTGCCACACTGATGGAATTTGAACACATCTCCTCAGCCTAGTTATTGGTACCCATGATTAGCTGATGCCGCTTGTCACGTCTTTCTCTGTGATAGAGTAACAGCTTTAGAAACTGGGAATAATGGGGCTCAGCTGTTAAGAGTGCTTGCTGCTCTTCCAGAGGACCAAGTTCAGTTCCCAGCATCACCATAGGAGTCTCACAACCATTTGTAACTCCAGTTCCAGAAGATCCAACAACCTCTTTTAACTTCTACAGACACCAAATGGAAGATGTACACATAAGTTTGTTTTGAAAAGTTACCCCCTTGGGGGCTGGAGAGATGGCTTAGTGGTTAAGAGCATTGACTGCTCTTCCAGAGGTCCTGAGTTCAAATCCCAGCAACCACATGGTGGCTCACAACCATCCGTAATGAGATTGGATGCCCTCTTCTCTGGCTGTCTTCTGGTGTGTCCGAAGACAGCCAGCGACAGTGTACTCATAAATAAAATAAAGTGTACTCATAAATAAAATAAATAAATAAATCTTTAAAAAAAAGTTACCCCAACATTTTTTAATCATTGGGAACAAAGAATAAAGAAATATGTTGACAATCATTGGAGGCTGTATAAGACAGTTTTAATTTTAGATAGGATCTTCCCTTGCAGTTCAGATTGACCTGGAACTAACTACATACCTCAAGCTGGCCTTGAACTCCACAGCCTCGAGCCCTCAGCTTTAGAATGCTAGGGTTACAGGCATTCACTACTACATCTGGCTATTGAAGGTGTTATAAAATCTTTTCTCTGTCTCTCTGTCTCTGCCTCTGTCTGCCTCTCTCTCTCTCTCTCTCTCTCTCTCTCTCTCTCTGCTCTGTGTGTCTGTGTGTGCGTGTGCTCTGTGCTGTGTGTGTCCCATCTCCCTTCTTCCCTCCCTCTCTCCCTTCCCACACTACCATCATCCTCATCATCCTCAGTAAGTTTTTGTAGATTTGTAGATTTGTCTATCTGCTTGACCTTTTCCTCCTTTTCCTACACTAAGCTGGGGCCCATAACTAGTCTTATG